GCTGCTACCAGCGGCAGAGTGGGGCGGCGAACCTTGCGAGCCATGCGAGCTCGGATTCCCGCGACGGCTCGCGCTGTCGCGCTCGCCTCGCTCGCCTTGGCTCGAACTGGGACACGCAAAGAGCGTGCTCTAGACGCTCTCCGCGTCGAGTTCCTCGTCGATGAAGACGGCGGCGCGCGCGGCCTGCTTGTCCTGCCAGGAAAAGTATCCAAACTGGCCCAGAATGATAAAGTCGAGGAAGATGGTGACGACGGAGCCGGCAATCCACGACGCGTTCGTGACGAGGTACTTCCACTCGAGCGACTTGAAGAGGATGCTCGCAATGTACGTCACGTTGCCCGAGATGGAGAAGAAGAACATGGCGAGCGACAGGCCCTCGCAGCGTGTCTTGTAGTTGTGGCTGATCTGGGGCACGCGAGAGGCAAAGTAGAGAATCGCGCTGATGTAGCCGAGCAGCTGCGAACGCCATTCCAGCTCCACGCCGCCGGGGCCCTCGGGGCCCTTCTCGGGGATCTTGGGGTTGCGCGTCTCGTCCGCCTCGTACACCCACGCCAGGATGCCGAACATCGCCACAAAGGCGATGAGCAGAGGGTACATGACGTAAGCTGGCAGGAGGGGCTTGAGCTGCTTCGGCGCCTCGACGCTGGCGCTCCGCGAGCGCCTTCTCCCGCCGCCGCGCGAGCGCGCGGTAGTAGTACATCTGGAAGAGGAGGATGAGGTCGCACACCGTGTACTGTTTCGTCAGCTCAGGCCTAGCAACATAGCTGGAGACAGTGTGGGCGATCAGAGGGTGGTGCATGAAGTCGAGCCCATGGGTACGCTTTGCTCGCCCGGCCCAAACCCGTGGGAGAGAGCCAGGGGCTCGGCTGTCGCGACTTCTGAGTATCATCACTTCGCCCGATACACTGTGTCTCCTTGTGTGTGCTTCTTGCCGTGTGTTGATCAACTGTTTGCACAGTCGACGCAACACCAATCGTACGAGTCCTACTCACATACAGCGCCAGGATGATCATCGTCGGGAGGAGACCGGCCATGAGCCCGCCCACCAGGTTGGTAACGTCGCCGGCCATCCACAGCAGGATGAAGCCGAGCGACAGTCCTTCGCCAGATTTAAGCATATAATTTTCCCAAACTGGAGCGAACATTCTGTGAGCACGAGAAAAAACGTCAGGAATCAATGGACAAACTTTGGGGACTGCGAAATGTCAGCTGAGTTTCGGGCGGGAGTGGCAGCTGCGATACGCGAGAGAGGGCACAGGTGGGCGACGTTCGGGACAGCGAACAAGAAGCGTAACCCATTGTAGACAGAACGACAACAGGCTGCTGATCACTCCCCAGTATTTCCAGGTAGCGCTTGCACGACGAGTGACCGCCGTGCTCGTCGCTTCCGGGAATCCCGAGGAACGACGGAGAGGCTTCTTGCTCCACAGCCCACCCGCCACAAGGACTCTTTCCGCCAGACTGTGCTCTGTCGTGCATCGCAGATGGCACCAAGCGGTAGCCAGGAGCGCGCTCTACACGTCTGAGGTAGTCCGAGAGGCTTAGCGGCTGCGGTTGGCGAGATATGGGCGATTTTCTGCCCAATTCGACCTCGCCATCGTCCGTCGCTTCGGCGCCGTCCTCCGCGTTCTCCTCGCTATCTGCTGCGCAGTACTACTAACCTGTACACAATAACCCAACATGCGATCGAAAGATAACCGAACTGTAGAGAAGGTTAGAGCTTTCAACGAGAAGAAGTTGAGGGAGCGGAGACGGAAGGTTGGTGGAGCACTCACGATAACCGAGAGCTCTTCGTGGTTGAGCGGGTTGGAGCCGGCTGCGCCCGCGACCTGTTCCATGGTTGCTAGTGTTGCGTTCATGACTAGCGCCCGGTATGCACAGCGGATGAGACGCTGAGTGTGAGTTGGGGTGAGTCAAGAAAGTTGACAAGAGGGAGAGAGAGAATGTGTAGAAGCAAAAGACCGAGTCAGGGGTTGGGAGAAAGTCGGAGGCGGCGGTGGTCGTGTGTGTGCGGCTAGCGCCGGGGTGAAGGATTGAGTCGGTCGGTCGGTGATCGCGCTAGTGAGTCGCTTGTTATCGCCCGCTTAACCCGCCCACCTGTGCATTCCTCCATATCCATCCGCTTAGGCATGCGGCCGATCTCCCCGCGCCTGCAAACCTTTTTCGGACCTCGGCACGCTGGCCCGGCGCGGACTTCCCCCTCTCGTCCGTGCACTCTCCCTCTCTCTTATTCGCGTCACCTGGTTAACGGCAAGAATGTTTGGAGTTTCAGCGTTTAGGCGGTCGTGCTGATCGACGCTGCGTTCCCAAGCCTACAGCGCGAAGACAGCCCTGAATAGGCATCCATACACGTGGCGCGACCCTGGCACCGCTCTCTCTCAACAGCACCCGCTATCACAGCGCGGGGAACAACAACGGCTCGTCATCAGAGCCCGCTCACTGCCCAGAGCCGCCGCACAGCTCATCCCGCTCACCAACAACCCATCTCCCTCCTCCTCCCATCTCACTCTCACACCCACACCGCCCAAAATGCAGTCGTGGAAGACCCTCTCCGCCTCCCTCCCGTCGGTCGACCTCAGCGCCGCCAGCAAGAACTTCCGCAACACCGTCCAGGCGACTCGGTACGTCTCTATCAGCCCCTACTCAACCAACAGACACACCGCCCATAGCGCATGGCGTCCTGGAAGGCTTCACTCATGACATGACGAAAACTTGTCCGTCACGCCACTGCACTATGGTCATGCCGTTGTGCTCAAGGCTTGGTTGCATGCAGCGCTGGCGGTGTGACTTGCGTCTATGCGACCTACACGTCGCCGGCGTGCTGCGCGTCGACGACCGCTGTGCTGAACCCTATTTCCGTCATAAGGCACATTCACTGACAAGACAGCGAGCGTTTCGGCAATGTTGCTCCTGAGGCCATCACTGAGTGAGTTGAGAGTTGAGCGAGGCGCGGAGCGTATCTGTGACAGGATATAGCTCGCCCAGAGTGGCGAATGCATATCGCACACTTGAGAACGACCACGTGCTGGGCGTTATCTACAAGATACGCTAGCCAAACTCGCAGCTACAAGTCGGACATCAAGCTAACACCAGGCTCCCCATCGAGTACAAGCAGCTCGAGGCTCGCGTCGACGCGCTCAAGGATGTGCACCAGAAGATGCTGAAGATCACCAAGGTGTACGAGACCGAGACTGTGAGTAGCTCTGCGTAGCTGGTCCAGCACTAGGCCAGTCTAGCGTGACGGCTGAATTGGGATCTGCACTCAGTGTGCCGTCTCCGACCGTTTCCCTTTACGACTCCAAAGCTGACCCCAGTACGACTACCCCTCGGACATTGCCGAGAACGTGTCGGAGCTCGGCCACCAGGCGCAGGCGGCGTGGGCGTCGTTTGCGAACAAGAACCTTAAGAACACGTCCCTCCCCGTCCCCATTCCCGAGGAGAAGCAGCGCGAGCACGCCCCCAAGACGCTCCCGCACGCCCTTTCTCGTGCGGCTAAGAGCGGCGCGCAGGAGCTCGGCGCGGAGGACAAGCTTGGCGCGGCGCTCGCGACGTACGCGACTGCGATGGACAAGGTAAGCGGGAGTCGAGCGGAGCGAGCGTGCGTCTCGCCAGAGACGCACCGAGACGCACCTTCGACAAGCTGTGTGGCCTGGACCAAAGCTAACACCCAGGTCGGCGACGCGCGCCTGGCGCAGGACTCGCTGATCGCGGAGCGCTTCGTGACGCCCTGGCAGGCGACGCTGAGCACCTCGATCGGGCTGGCGATGAAGGCGCGCGCGAACGTGAAGACGGCGCGCCTCGAGCTCGACAGCGCGCGCGCCGCGCTCAAGTCGGCCACCCCCGCCAAGCAGGAGCAGGCCCGCCTCCACGTCGAGGAGGCAGAGGACAAGCTCGTCCAGGGCACTGAGACCGCTATTGGGCTCATGAAGGCGGTGCTGGAGAACGTGAGTGTGCTACGAGCAGGTCCGCGAAGCGGGGCTGCGAGTTTAGACCTCTGCTGTTGGGCTGCGAGTTGAGACCTCTGCTGTTGGGCTGCGAGTTGAGACCTCTGCTGTTGTCAGCCTGCAAGCACAGGCAGTGACCCGCCGCTCCGCAAAGGGTAACCGCCATTGCTCAGCGGGGTGGGTGTAATAGCAGCAGAGACAGCGCAGCAGCTACTCATACTCCGAGAGTGTAGCTAACGCCCCAGCCCGAACCGCTGCAGAACCTCGCCGCGCTCGTCAAGGCGCAGCTCATCTTCTTCTCGACGGCGGCCGAGACGCTCTCGGGCATCGAGGGCGCGATCGAGGAGGCCGCCACGGCCGCCGAGGGCGAGTACCGTACCTCGCGCGGAGCCTAAGCGCCGACGGCCGAGGGCCGGAGGTGTGCTGGAGGCCGGAGGTGTGCTGCCGGAGGCGTGCTGAGGAGTGTGAGGTGTATGTAGCGTAGAGCAGTGTGCTTTGTGATTTGGATGCAGACGATAGCCCGGACTTTCCACCAGTTGTCACTGACTGTCTAAGAGGGGTGAGGGGTGAGGGTGAGTGGGTGAGGGGCTGATGGAGGGCGCAGACAGGGAAGACAGGGGAGACCGTGGGAGACATCGAAACTGGCAAAGCCTCCCTCTGACCAGGATGTTGGGAACATTTCTCATATCTCATCTACTTCCCGCTCCGCACACACTCACTGTGTCGGAACTCGGTGCACCTCACACAACTCTCGCTCTCGCTGACCCTCCTTACCTCGCTGACCTGGCTTAGGCTCGGCAGCTCGACCGCTCTGCACACTGAAATACATACACAGATGGAAAGCTACGGAAAACGACTGATGCAGCGGTGCTGCAACTTTTGAAAGCTGAAAGCGAATGATACTGGCATGGCATAGATGGAAGCAAGTCTTGCTTTGAGATGCGGTTTAGAGTCCGTGGGACTGTGTGCTGGCGGGGGCTTACATCCACCAGGCCTGTGTGTCAGCTTCAACTTCGCTAATGGGAAGGTGAGACGCATGAGCTAACTCTAGCAGGGCAAGGAGCTCTGAAGAGGAAGTGGGAACGGAATACTTACGACCTCGCCGATCTCGGGGTTGCGCGAGAGCATGTTCTGGATGTGGTTGTGGTCCATGTCGCCGCGGGCGGTCTTGATGATGGTGCTCGTCGACGTGGTCGCGGTGGGCGCGCCGGCGCGCGAGCCGCTCGTCTCCGAGGGCGTCATGCTCTCGTCGGCCCTCTGCACAATCAGGCGCGCCTTCTGGCAGACGAGGTCTGGGTGTCAGCTCTGAGAGTGGTATACAGCTAACTTACCAGCCATGTAGCACACGGGGACGAGGGAGACGGAGCGCGTGCAGCGCGCAAACGAGAAGCAGAGACCGTGGACGAGCTTCTGCAGGTCGTCGGGAGTGAGCCCGAGCTCGTCGAGGAGACAGATGTAGTGGGTCGGGCGGGCGGTACCGACGAGACCGGCGTGGGACTGCAGGAAGAAGTCGAACGCGTACGGGTGAGTGACCGACTTGTCGACGCAGAGGCCGGCGGGCAGGTTGCCTGTGCGGTCGGTGTTGACGCGCTCCTTGGCGAAGAAGCGGGTGTTGTGGCGCTTGGCGCAGACGACGACCATGATGCGGGGGCGGTACGTGCCCTCGATGCGGCGGCAGGCCGAGACGATCGCGTCGTGCTCCCACTGCAGAGCGGCGGCATACTGGCCCTCGCTGATACCGTCACGGAACACGAGGATGCGCTCGGGGTAGTCGCCGTTGTTGTTCTTGGAGAAGATGCGCAGGTGCTCCTCGACCATGGTCGAGAGGTCGTGGATGATCTCGCTGCGGCCGAGCTGCAGGCGGATCTGCGCAGAGTACGCGTCACACTCGGCGTTGTACGTGGCAATGCTGCACGCGACGGTGGGGATCTGGCTGTTGGGCGCAAAGGGAGGGTGGCCGAGGTCAGCGCCGAGGATCATCGTCTTGCCCTTCTCCATGCCGGGGAGCGACTCAGCGGGGATGCGGTGCGAGAGACCGCCGAGCTTGGCGACAATCTTCATGGCGAGGTTGTCGGTGTACGCCTCGATGCCACGGGGGCTCTTGATCTTGGCAGCCTGCATGCACTGAGTGGGCACGGGGGCCTTGAGCTCAGTGAAACTGATCTTCTTGATCGACTCGTACAGCCACGCGTCCTTGCCAGGGAGAATGACGACAATCAGCTGGGGCGTCTCGCCGCTGACCATGAAGGCGTCGCGAGCAGCAGACTGCATCGAGCTGAGCAGGTTGCTGTGCTGGCGCGGGTCGGCGGGAGGGATGATGGGAGGGTTCTTGTTCGCGACCTGAACACCGAGGCGACCGAGAGCAGAGCAGAGGTAGGTGATCCAGCGCTGCATGTCCTGAACGTCGCAGTAGCGGTCGAACGAGACGACAGCCCAGTTGTTCAGAGGACGAAGGCCGTCACGAGCGAACTGAACACCGCGAAGACGCCAGCCGCCGTCCATGACTGGAGCCGCACGGTTGTTGCGGTAGGTGACCTTGGGAGGGTCGAGGATTCGCGCGTCGGTCTCAACCATGCGCTGGTTGACCTCGAGACCCCACTCCCTGACCTTCTCCTGGGTCTCGTACGCGAGCTCGCGGCGCCAGTTGAGAATCGTCTCACGACGGTCGTTGGGCTTCATGGCGCTGACCTTGATCATCCTGGTTGTCAGCTTGTGGTCGAACCCTACCTCCCTAGCTGGCGTCCTGCTCAGAGAGGCAACGAAGACTCACTCGGCAGTCTGCTCTGCAGTCAAGTTGGTAGGAGGCAGCGAGTTGAAGTCGGCAAAAACCGCAAACTCGAGAGGAATGTAGGCGCGCTTGCCATACTGTTCACGTCAGCTCTTGTATAGTCAATTGTAAGCTCACCTGGATGCAAGGAAGGCGGGGCTTGCGGACCTCGCAGCCGTAGTACTCCTTGTAGAACTGGGCGACCGACACGCGGCGGTCGGGGTTGCCGTCCTTGCCCTCGATGACGAAATTGAGCTCAGCGGCCGAGTGCAGGGTCACAGTGACGACCGTGTGCAGGCGCGAGCTCTGGCGGTGGGTGACGTAGAACTGGAGTCAGATGGCGAGCAGAAAAGGGCATCAAAGTGACGTTCGTAACGGGCCAGGCTGCACTCACCTTGGCACCACGGAGCTTCTTCTTGAGGATGGCGATCTGGCGCTGATCGAGCTGGTCTAACTCGCGCGCCTGAGGACCGCCGCCACGCGCGCCGACGGGACCGAAGGAGAGAATCTTGTTGATGACCTCGACGGCAGGACCAGGCTGGAGGAAGGCAGAGAAGCCGAGGTCAATGTTGATGAGGGGCACCGCCGAGTTGGAGTAGCGGAAGGACCTGGGTGTTAGTTGAGCATTTTCCTGTGAACTTTGAAACTCACTGAAGGAAGCCCTTGCAGACCATTGCGCCCTGGGGAAGAGGGCGGGAGCCGTCCATGGTGTAGAACTTGTTGCCCGTGGCGCCGACCTGGGTGTAGGTCTTGGAGGGGAAGTCGCGGAGCAGGACATTGGTCGCCATGACGCCGGTGAGGCAGCGCTCCTCGTTGGTGGGGGCGCGGTCGGAGGCGCGGCAGAACTCCATGACGGCCTCAAGGTCAATCGTGGCCACGAGCTTCATGTCGACGTGGTAGCGGCGCGACTCCTCGTCGGACGAGGACTGCTGCTGACCACCGCGCTGAACCTCGCCGCTCGCCAGGAGCGTCGTGGTGTGGCGGTAGGGCTCTTATCATGGTCAGCCGAAGGGAGCAGGAGTGGACGTACGGTCACCAATGGGGAACTTGTGGGGAGTGAAGGCGTTCTTGCGACCATCGAAGGCGACAGCCTTGAAGCCCCGCTGCCAGTCGGGGTGGGTCTGCTCCGCCGCGAGCTGCTCCCAGACAGCGCGCAAGAGCTGGCGAGGACGCTTCGTGTTGGTGACCTTGACCACGGGATCAATGTTGATGTCATAGTGGCTGAGAGGTCAGACAAGATAAAGCCACGCGAACTCACTAGATAAGCTTGCCCTTGGCGTTGTTGGCGTTGCGCACAGCAAAGTAGTTGGACTGGACGACGATCTTCTTGCCCTTCTCGCCGTAGCCGGGACGGACGTAGAACGAGGTGAGCTGGAGCGCCTCAAGCTTGTCGGTGACGTTGGGCACCTCGGAGCCGGCGCTCGTGGCGGGGGTGGCGTCGTGGCGGGTGGAGATGGTGCCGGTGGTGCCAGACGAAACGGTGCCCTGGGCACTGGGAGGAGGGGCGAGGCCGCTCATGTCGTGCCCCTGCTGTGCGTAGGGAGCCTGGGGCGGGCCACCGGCGGGCTGGAAGCTAGCAGCAGCCGGGTTGAAGCCCGAGGGCGCAGGGCCGACCTCGCGCACAGTCGGGGCAGGCGAGGGCGCGACAGTCGAGGGCGGACCGCCCATGCTGGGAGCCATGCTGGGGGTGATTGTGCTGATGGTGGGCGCAACAGAGGGCGCAGTCGAGGCCGCAGTACCGGGGCGAGGGGACGCGTCATAGTACTGCTGCTGCTGGTAGGGAGCCTGACCAGCGGGGGGCGCAGGGGCATGCTGATCGTACGCGCCACCAGGGGGACCGGGCGGGCGCTGATCGTTGCTGGGGGCTGCGGACGGGGCGCGCGAATCGTACTGCTGACGAGGCTCGCCGTACTGCTGAGGCTGCTGAGCGTAGCCCTGCTGCTGGTACTGGCCGGCGTTGTAATCGGATGGAGGACCGGCGGGAGGCGCACTGGCAGGAGGCTGCTGATAACCACCCTGCGCGTAGCCGCCCTGAGCAGGGGGCTGCTGCTGGTAGCCACCCTGTGCGGGGTAGTCACCGCGAGACTGGTCGTAGCGCGAGTCATAGCCTTGAGCGGGGGGAGGACCACCAGAGTTGTAACCTTGAGCAGGGGCCGCCGCCTGAGGAGCACCGCCATAGCCTTGAACGGGAGTAGCGCTCTGGGGAGGAGCGCTGGCGTAACCCTGGGCACTCTGGGGAGCGCCGCCGTAGCCCTGGGGAGGACCGCCGGCCTGAGGAGTGGCACCGCGGTCGTAGCCTTGAGGAGGGGCCTGGGGCGCGCCAGAGTAACCTTGAGGAGGACCACCGCTGTAGCCTTGAGGAGCGTTGTTGTAGCCCTGAGGAGGACCGCCGTAGCCCTGCTGGGGAGGAGGGCCGCCGCCGTACGACTGAGGAGGCTGACCGTACTGGTCCGAAGGAGGAGCGTAGCCGCCGCTGTAGCCTTGAGGGGGCTGCTCACCTCCGGTGGGAGGAGGCTGGCCCTGATTGTAGTACCCACCCTGCTGAGACATGGCTGGTGAGGTGGAAGTACCTTGGTGACCTGCGAGGTTCGTCGTGACGATGCCGGTCGACGGGCGAAAGGAAGGTGAAGTAGTGATGAAGAGAAGGAGAGGACAGCAAAGAATCTAAGGATGGAGGACTAGGGTGAAGAGGGAGAAGGGGGGAAAGGTGACACTGTGAACGGTGCAATACCAAAGGAAGATGGGAAAGAGAGGAATGGAGAGGAGGAGGGAAGACACGCCCACCAAGTGTTATACCGGGGCGCGTCGAGGTGAGCTGGCGTGGGGTCAGTTCAAGCTGTGCAGTGATATCAGTGAGTGTGGGAGACTAGGTGACGGGGACGGAGGGTGAGACTGCCTGTGTGAGCGGCCAAGCTCGAGTGCGAGCGTGCGAGCGAAGCGCGAGAGCGTGTGGGCAGAGGTAACTGAGATGCGAGCGCGCCCCTTCCTCGATCCCTTCGTCCCTCCATCAGTCACACGCCGGTCAGTTGAGTCAGTCAAAGTTGCGCCCTCCGTCCCCGCCTGCGCCCCTCTGCTCCTTCCCTTCCCCTTCAACCCCGCCAGCCCCCTCACTTCCTCCTCGCATCTGCGATCGCGAGGCCGATCACTCTGATGGGATGCAAAGGGTAGGGTCCTACATACAACACAATCTGCCCGATCAGGAAGTCGAGACGTACAAGTGTGTAAGGTTCGCGAGTGCGTGAGCGCACTATCTCTACTCAGCCCCGCGAGCATGGCTAATATTCTAAAGTTGGGTGGCTCTGTCGAGATAGCGACGGGGCCGAGAATGTAAGGTATGTGGTGTCGCGCCAACATGAGGAGAGTGCGGAGTCGGTCCACAAACAGGCGGAGCTTAGATGATGCCCACGACGACGGTAGCGCGCAGGCTGCCGCCCTCGGGACAGTCGCCGACCCAGCCGAGTGAGCTCTCGCCTTCCTTCTCTATAGGCGAAGGAACGGAGAGGTACTCCTCCGAGCGGAGGGCGGACGACTTCCAGCCCCATGACTGCGAGAGCGCAAACTTGTCCGGCGCCGAGGAGAAGCGCACGAGAGCCGTGCCGAGCGCCGACGCGCATGAGATGGAGAAGTACGCCTTGGTGACGCGGCGGGGGTCGAGGTAGTTGCCGGGGTCGCGATCGCCGACCATCTCGGGCAGCGGAGAGGTGCCCATAGGCGGAGAACCAGTCGTAGGAGGGCTTGTCGACATGGTGCGGTACAGACCGAGTCGAGTCGGGGGCTGGTGCAGCGTTGCCGTCGAGGGCATGGGGTGCAGCGCAATCGGAGATGCGGCACGGCCCTCAGCCGGTAGGTTGGCCTGTGTCGGCTCAGGAGACGTGGGCGAGTCGGTGATGCCAGCGGGCGTGCAGACCGGAGGGAATGCCTCGGCAGTAGACTGATCGTCAGTTATCACTCAGAAATAGGAATTCTTCAACTCACCTGGCGATGGAGGTAGATGCCCAGCTGCACACCCTTGTCCTTCTTACGGGTGGTAGTGACGTAGACGTTGAAGTAGCTGCCCGCATAGAAGTGAGTGGCCGAGTATAGCCTCTCCTTCTCAGAGAGCTTGTCGACGCCCCAGAACTCGACCGAGAATCGGAACGGCTCAAGCTTGGACCACTTCTCCTCCTTCGGCTTTCCCTCTGGGATCGCGACAAGCGGCACATGCGTCTGCTTAATCTTAGCCTCGATCTCGGACGCGCGGCGAGCACCGCGCAAGATGCCGAAGAACGTCTTCTCATTCTGCGGGGGAGTCTCCGTGTCCTTGCTCGATCCGTTGCCGGTCTGGCCGTTCCAGTCTGGTCCGAGATTCGGCATGTTCGTGAGACCCGTGATCGGGTTCGACGTTGTCGGGTTCAGGAACACAAGACGGCCGGCACCGATACGAGTCGTGTCGTCAGAGGGCACGGGATGGTAGAGCGGGTCGGTGGCTGCGGGAGTGAAGCTGCTGAGCGTGGACGACAGCGACGAGAACGACAGCGTGTTGTGGATCGCGTACGGGCTGCTGCCGGCGCGAACACGGGGTCCAAGACGGCGGCGCTGCTGCAGGATGTTGTTGGAGGTGAGCGTGAGGCCGAGTTCGCCAGCGTCCTGGTCCTCGTCTTTCTCGAAGGTGATGCGCGTCTTGAGATCGGCGGCGGACCAGTGCGCGGCCTGCAGGACGTTTAACGGCGCATACGGGAGCGTCGTCGAGGGGTCGATGTCGCTCGCAATCGAAGAGAGATCATCGAATTTCTGATGTCAGTTGCAAGTTCCCGAACCCTTAACTCACCATGTGGCTGTAGTAGATGCCCTCGACGAAGACCTTGGCAAGCTCTCGCTCGTCCTCGTCCCAGCCCTCGATCGACTCGGGCTCAGATACCACGGACGGGGCACGGCTCTGCTCCTCTTCGATCATGGCCTGCCAACTTGCGCGGCGGAGCTCGAGAACCCGCCGCGTCATACGGTAGCGCTCAATCTCGTTGGGAACGAAGAGAGCGTCCGACGACAGAACGGCAGCGACAAAGTTGGCGGGAACACCTCCCTGGGCCCACACGAGGGGTCCGTCGTGCTGCGGGTCGACCTCGGCCAGCTGCTCCTCGATCCTGAGGACGTCCATACCCCATCGGGCGAGCCAGCAGACACACGCCTCGCCGATGCGGTCCGAGACGAAGCCATAGAAGTGCGGCATGACGTAGTCCTCGGGACCTTCCTCCTCCACAGTAGGCGTGCTGAGAGCAGCGAGACCACTTTGACCAGGTCGAACAGTGGCAGTTGACCTAACAGAGTCTGATCGTGTGACAGACTTGACACTGGAGTCTCCCTCCACCTTCATGACACTGGGTCCGTCGTCAGAGTAGCTGGAGCTGTTGGAGTCAGTCGAGAGACGAGGGACACGGCCAGGGCGGCTCTCGTCACTCCCTTCCATGCTGCTCCAGTCATCGGCACTGCTGTTGACAAAGCCCGATGCGACTGTCTTAGCCACGCTCTCCATCCCCCGTGCTCCCTCCTCATCCTGATTGATCCACTCTTCTTCTCCGATGCCATGTCCGATGGCGAAGTAGAGGTAGCGGTTGACAGTCTGAGGGCAGACGGTGCGAAGGACGATCGCGAGAACCTCGCGAAGCAGATACTGCTGACCAAGGTATGTGGCGGTCGCGAGGAGCGAGAGCAGGAGACGGGGCGTTACGAGCTGCGTGTGCTCGGGCAATCCCTGCGATGCCGACTGGAGCGAGGGGAACTTGCCCTCGGGCGGAGGCGGGAACGAGGGCGTCAGCGGCTGGGCCGCGGTCGGCAGCAAGCTGACAGGGAAGTGCAGCTGAGGGTAAGACGAGTAGAGGCGCTGCAAGCAGATCTCGAAGGCAGCTCGCGTGATGTTCGGGTCGTCAAAGGTGAGCTCAATGTCCTCGCCAGTCCACTCGTCACCAGGGATCTGGGACTTGTTCTGCTGTCTCGTTTCAGAAAAGCCACCCATGAACAGGGAGTGGAAGAATCCTGAACGTCAGTTCTGTCCATTGTTGCGACATCGGCATGCGCTAAGGGCTATTCCCGACACTTACCGGCCTGGACGAGGACCATTTTGTGGATCAGCCACCCCACACCCCATTTCCTCACCCACAGACGCACATCTGCGCAGGCCCCGGTCTTGAGGGACCTGTACAGGTGGTCAATGAGCGCTCCAGACGGGGCAGGGGGAGTGACCGGGATGCTGGCCGGTAAAGGGTCTGGTGGCAATGAGGCTTTCTTGGTCGGAGGTATGCGCACTGATTCCCTTGGTGCGAGTGGAGGCGTCGGGTCGTGAGGAATCGACGCAGCTCGAGTGGGAGGGCTTGCCACGGCGGGGTGCGCTGCGAAGGGGCGGGGTGGCATGGGCTGCGATGTCGTGAGAATCGGGATTGGGGCTGTGGGCGGAGCAGCGCCTGCGGGGATTGAGACCGGAGCCGGAACTGTGGAGACGGGTGGAGGTGCGGCGTGGGTGAGTTGGGGAGGGGGCGATGACGGTGTGTCCGGACGAGACGACGACGACGAGATGACCTGGAAGCCCTCTGGTCGCGCCGGGGTGATGGCAGAGGCCGTCTGGGCTCTGGGTCGGAGCGGTCGCGGGGTCGAGTGACCAGCGTTCAAGCGACTGGCGGACACTGTGGGAGAGAGTGTATGACCGAAACGAATGTTGGAGCCAGAACTCGAGCCCGACGCGGCGGCGGTCGCAGTGTCGACGCTAGTACCGAACGGGAAACTGTCCGTACCAGACCCGGGCGAGCTGAGACCAGGCGAGGTCACTGGCGACGGTCCACGCGAGGGATCTCTGCTCATGACGGGGCGCACCGGGAGGTCTGGGAAGGGGAGGACCTTCGGTTGCGGCGAGCTGTGGAACGCCTTGGGAAGGTGGAGGCTAGTCCTAGACGAGGACAGGCGCGACGACGAGTATATTCGGTTGGGGGTGGAGGAGCGAGATGGATGTTGAGACATCGAGGAGTGGTGTTATTGCTTGTGCTAGTGAGTGACGGTCGGCGAGTCGGGCGGCGCGACTTGATAGGCCGGGCGGAGGTCGGCTATGAAGTAATGGGAAAACAAAACAGGGGCGGAGTAGGGTGGGTGGAGGACAAGACAGTGATGGTTATGTATGCTTCGAGGTCGGCCTAGGCGGTGGTGGTGCTGGAGGGGCGGAGAGCGACGCCACCAGGCGTGCAGGGGGTGAGGAAGGAGAGGAGAGGACAAGGGGGGGACAAAGGAGAGTGAGTGACCGGATGCCGGGTGGTGTAACAGGCGGACAGGCGGTATGTGGATTGTGACCGGCGTCTTTTGCGAGTGAGCTTACACAGCGTGCCCAGCGTGCCCCGATTTCGAGAACCCACGCCACAAACAAATGAACTTTGGGCTTGCAATGGCACGCGAGTTGGGCGGACCAGAGTTATCCGCTGTCGACGCCGCTTGTCACGGTGCTGCAGTGCCAGCGTTGGTCGTTTTGGGGCCTGTCGACGATGGGGAAGTGATCGTCGATGCCTGCTGGTGCGAAACAAGAGATAGGGAGAGGATCAAAGCAACGTGCCGGGGGATGACCAGATGTTCAAGGGTTCATAAAGCTACTACCCAGGGGTCCGTCATGACAAGTCGTCGTGCCATGCCGGCCGAAAGAAAGTTGGCGAGGTGTGGTGCATCCGGGGGGTCCGGGGAGGCGTCAGGCGAGGTGCGCCGCGGTTGCCATGGCGTGCCATGCGAAGCGAGAAGCTGACAAGAGTGGGTGGGTCTGTGCACATTACCCCGGCGGCACTGCGGGACTACGGTACTCCTGCACTGCTGTCAGCGTGCTGATGCATGCTGCTGGTGACTGGCTGCTGCTCGATCTCGTGGGATCGCTGGTACAACATCCGAAGCCGCCAAGGCCGGCCATGATACCATGTTGGATCTGCCGAGCTGTGGTGGGGGGACGACAGCCAGGGTATCCGCAGTCCGGCGACGACACGGTGATGGCCGGGTCGCTCTGATAGGCCGGTTCCAGCAGAGCCCGCACAAGATACAAAGCTTGTTAGCTTGCCGACAGCCATCGGCGCACGATGGGGCCCGAACTGCAAAAGGGGGTAAGGGTTTCCTCGCATGCTGCTAAGGCCGCGATGGCCGTAGACGTGGGGGCCGCCTTAAGCTCAGAAGGGTCGTTCATCTCATGAAAGTGAAGGCGTCTGAGTGAATATCGGCATTGGGCTGTTCCATTTCCATGAGGGATTTTTTCGTGGACGCTTGAGAACAAGGGTTGACTCATGGTCACACTTGCTCCACAGCCAAGCATTCAGCCCCGAACTGAGTCGCATGAGTCACGTTACCTCAAGCTCACCATTCTGTGGTACAAATGTTGACATCTGACATCTGACCAGCAGCGAAGAGTTGCCAGACAGGTCTGGATGTAACGACCGTTACGTCCCCTCCGGCTTGACGGACTAGGCCGAGCGGGCCGAGTTCGCTATCAGCAAGCGCTTCGGCAGATTCGGCGTATGGCGCTTGTGTGTGTGTGTGTGTGCTGTCGCTTTGGTAGCGCCGGGCATCGGCAGTGCAGGCACACAGGGTACAAACCAGGGGTTGAGGGGTATCCGTATGTCCTTCATGCATCAGCGATTATCCCGACATCCTCCTCCCAGCATCCGGTGCGCCGGCGACGGCAGCGACCATTGAACGGGTCAACCTCCATCGACTTACGGCACACGCAGCAAACGGTGAGGCGTTGCTGCGACACACAGTGAAGGTACTCAGGGAAGGCACCCATCGACGACCCTCCTGCCGCCATTATCAATTCTATTTAGAGTTCAGACCCAGGAATCGGCGGGGCCCGAGAGTTACGGTCACGTGCACCGTCTTCTGTACTCTGCACGTGATCTGCATCCACGCGAAAAGCATGCGCCACGACGCGTTCACTCCGCCACTCACCGGCGACACGGAAATATTACAAAAAAGTTAAGAGGGGCGAGCGCCAGCGTACGGTCAGGACGAGCGCAGGGGCGAGCTCCGGCCTCCAGCCAGCCAGAGTGCACGCCGGTGCCGCAGGCCACGTTCTTTGTTTCGTTCTTAACGCCAGTCTTTCTTCCAACTTTCTCTCACTCATCATAAAAAATGGTCGACGCTAAGGAGCTTGAGCAGCACCTCTCCACCCGTGCCTACGTTGACGGGTAAGTATTCGGCTCTCTGATTCTCCAGCGCTTTTCTCTTTTCTCGCGATCAGTTTCGACGGCTTCGAAGTCTTGAAATTTTGTCGGCGGTTGTCCTGGATCTCGAAATCTCCCTCCCGATCTGGCCAGCTCGTCCATCGCATCTCCCACACCTCTTTTTCATGATGAACATTTGTTTTGGTCCGTGTTTCCGAGCTGCGGATTAAGACCCCGCGACTATGGCGTTGACGACAACACCTCTTCCAAACTATCTGACTCTTTCCCCGATCACACGTTTTTTCTGCCTGATTCAATGACGATGAGAGGGACCAAGCGCTGACAGACATAGCAACCAGCCTACCTCGGCTGACGTCGCTGTTGCCGACACCGTCAAGCTCAGCACCCTTGACTCGTACCCCCACACCGCCCGCTGGTTCAAGCAGATCGCCTCGTACGCTGGCGAGACCGGCAAGCTCCCCGCTGGCAAGGTCCCCTTCGCCGGTGTTGCTGCCGCGGCTGCCCCCGCCGCCGCCGCTGAGGAGGACGACGAGGACATTGACCTCTTCGGTGACGACGACGAGGAGGACGCCGAGGCCGAGCGCATCAAGGCCGAGCGTGTTGCCGAGTACACCAAGCAGAAGGAGGCCAAGAAGGCCGAGAAGCTCGCCGCCGGCAAGAAGCTCGAGGTCGCCAAGTCCGTCGTCACCCTCCAGGTTAAGCCCTGGGACGACGAGACCGACATGGCCGCCCTCGAGAAGGTCGTCCGTGACATTGAGAAGGACGGTCTCGTCTGGGGTGCTTCCAAGCTCGTCCCCGTCGGTTACGGCATCAAGATGCTCCAGATCACCCTCGTCATCGAGGACGCCAAGATCTCGCTCGACGAGCTCCAGGAGCAGATCGCCGAGGACGGCGAGGACTACGTCCAGTCTACCGACGTCGCTGCCATGCAGAAGCTCTAAACAGCCTTCCTATAGGCTTGTCTTGGTGTTGTAGATATGATAATGCCAGTAATACAGTAGAACTCTAGCCAGAGCATGAGCAGGAGCAGCGAGCAGTGCGAGAGTCCAAGCGTGGAAAGACCGAGAAAGCGGGGTGCGAGTGATATATTTGGGAGCGAGGGAGTGATCGTCGCGCTCGGTCAGTAGAAAATTGCCCGGGTCTGCGGCCTGCGGGCTTGGTCAGATCCGGTGTTTCGCCGAGGGTCTTAGCAACCACTCTTATCTCTGGCGTGCCCGTTGCCTCAATGCGTAAGCCAACGTCGTGGTTCTACGCCGGGCGCTCTTGTGCGATTGTTCCAAATGACCGGAGTCAGCAAATCTCGCTGAACCAGGCTGACTGACATGGGTCAGATGGACGGATCGTGCAATGGTAAGCAGGCAGAGCGGAAGCGTGCGGAGATCCTCCGCGGCGGATTGAGTTACGTCACCCCGATCTGCGCGAGACGCTGGCGTCTCGCACCTTAATTCTCGACGCGGTGATTCACCGTGCCGTGCGTCGCGAGGCGTGTGTATTGTATTTGCGTCCCCGGAGGTCTCTCTCCGCCTCGATCACATCGCCTATTGTCACTTGTCTTGTCAGCTTAGCAAGCGAGTTCCCAGCGGCGCCCCATCGTCTCGAGTATAAACAGCTGGCTCTCACGATCCCAACTTGCCTTCCCCAGTAGTCAACAACAACTAGCAATCAGCAATATGCCGGCCATCAACAGCGGAACGATCCTCGTCACTGGAGCCTCGGGCTTCCTCGGCACTTACATTGTGCAGGAGCTGCTGAAGCGCGGGTTCAAGGTCCGCGCCGTTGTCCGTGACGACAAGAAGGGAGAGTACATGCAGAAGAACTGGCCTGGAACCGAATATGTGATTGTCAAGGACATGAACGCGGTAAGTAGTTTGTCACAGCTCATCACCACTCGCATTCAGCTGACTCCAGCCCGGCGCCTACGACCACGTCGTCGACGGCATCGCCGGTATCATCCACGTCGCCTCCCCTCTCGACGTCTCGAACACCGGCCACCCCGACGAGGTGATCGGCCCCGCTGTCGTCGGCGTCGAGAATCTCCTCAAGGCTGTCGAGGGCTCCAAGACGCTCAAGAGGTTCGTGCAGATCGGCTCTATCGCCGCCATCGCTGGACTTCCCGACGGAACGCCCAAGACGTACACTGAGGAGACTTGGAACGATGCCGCCGTCGACGAGTGCTACAAGCTCGGCGCCCCCGCCCCCGGTCCTCTCAAGTACATCGCGAGCAAGAACAAGGCGGAGCGCGCGTTCTGGAAGTGGTTTGAGACCAAGCGTAGCTTTGACGCCGTCGCCATTCTTCCCGGCATGGTGAGCAGATCCAGCTCGCGAAGTTGAAACGCACCAGCTGATGTATAGATCCTCGGTCCGCCCAAGGAGTACGGCTCTGACAAAGCCATTGGCGGCACGAACTCGTGGGTCGCCGCGTTCGCGGGCAAGGACAACTTCGGCACCGACTTCGAGTTCTGGTCGACGGTGGACGTGCGCGACGTCGCGGACGCAACCGTATCTGCGCTTTCGGTCCCCGAGGCCGCCGGCGAGCGCTTCATCATTGCCGCCGCGCCCCTGTTCGGAAACGAGGTCGCGGCCATTGCCGAGGAGTACTTCCCCTCCGCCCCGACCAAGGCGAACAAGGACCCTGCGTTCCAGAAGCAGCAGAAGGACCGCGCCACTGTCTTTGATGGCTCGAAGGCGACCAGGATCCTCGGCACGCAGTACCGCCCCAAGGAGGAGAGTATCCGTGACCTGTTTGAGGTTGTCAAGTCGAGGCAGTAGGCGTCCGCGAGCGTCAGCGAGCGGGCGGCGAGAAGACAGGCAGTAAGGAGTGCGATACCACACAAACATGAAATTCGTGATCCGGCAATGCCACAGACTTACGGTGACTGATCGCTAATCACAGCCGTGGTCGGGGCTGACGTCCGTGCCAACGGCTGGTGCCGCCACTGACCGAGGCGCGAGGCGCCTCATGAAGCGCCAGCCCGAGGCGCGGCTGCACGGTTATGCTCACGCGAGCGGGCTCTTCACGACATGACCAGACTTGCACCCGTGAATGGCGTAGCGCCGCGCTAGCCTCGGAACCAAGCCCCTCCGTTGCTCTGGAACCCGATGCACTGCGAATGACAGAGGTCCGACAGCCGCGTAGCGTACCTACGGCGAGTGTAGTTTGGAGGGCTGGGCTAAACTAGCGTACCACTGACTGTTGCCACACAACATTGTGATTTAAGGCGTGTCGCGTTGCCCAAACTTCTCATCTCACTACCCTCCTTGCAAAACACAAACGGTGACATGTTTCGAAACGTGAGTACAGCTGACCACCTGCTCACCCCTCGCTCGACCCCTTATGCTAATAACAGCGCCGCCCCGATCTCAAGGATGAGAACTACGTCTTCATCCTCGAGGGCGCCGAGGAGTCCCTCTCGCACAAGGCAAGCAAGTTGCACCTCGAGAGCGACATTGTGACTGTCCCGACGCTGAATGCGGGCGCCCACGGAGCGCTCTCGCACCAAGACTTCCTGGACGACTTCATCGGCTCGCTCTCAAAGGTGCAGAAGGACATGGACTCGCGCTTCCGCGCCGCTCTCACTGCCTCTGAATCTGCCGCCGCCACCCGCCTCGCCGACACTGAGGCGCGCTGGTCCGAATCCCTGAAGGAGGAGCAAGCCAAATCCGCCCGGCTCACAGAGGAGCTCGGGACAGTGAAGGAGCGCGAGTCGCAGCTCGCCTTCAAGCTCGCGTGCGTCGCGACCGAGCTTGGCGGCTTCGAGTCCATGATCAAGGAACTGGGCGTGGACGAGGCCGCAGTGCAGAAGTGGTGGGACGAGAAGCAGGCCGCGGAGCGGCGCGAGGCCGAGGCGAAGAAGGCGCGCACCAAGGCTGCGATGGAGGCCGCGGCGAGGGAGAGGGCGGACAAGCTGAAATTCGAGCAGGAGCAAAATGCGCGCACGCGTGCTGCGCGCGAAATGGCCGAGAAGGAACGCGAGGAGGTCGCCCTCCAGTCCCTCGTTGCGAGCTTTGCCCGCTTTCCGTCTGACGTGACCTGCTCCCCGCGCCGGTGCCAACTCGACTCGACGCTGTACCTTCTCGTGCAGTGGTGTCCCGAGATCAAAGCCCACTTCGCGAACCGACACTCGACCGTCGGACAGGTCCTCCTCTTCGCCCAAGCCAAGGGGATCGAGTGGAGCAAGGTGCAGTGGGATGTCCGCTTCACGGACGAGAGCGGGTACAACGAGGACGCGCGCAGGAAGGGCATCCATGTGCGCGAGACGCTGGCCATGATTCGCGACTGGGCTCTGCAGTACCTGAAGGAAAACCCGGGGGTTGTGCGCAAGACGGCCCAGCTTGACTGGTACGCCATCAGCCGCGATCAGTATGAGGCCATCAAGACCGCGGAGAGGAAGGGCGTCAGTCTCCAGGACTCACAGCTTGAGACGTTCTACTCCTGGATGTGGTGCGCGCAGAAGTATGTCGATAGCGCGCGCTGGTTCGTCCAGGATCAGTTGTAGCTTGAGCTGCTCACATGGCATGCACCACGAGTACAATCATAATACTGGGATTCGCATACTGTGTACAGCTGTCACCGTACGCCTCAACGAATAGATATCACACGAAAACTTGAGCTTCACCTCTCCGCGGAGAATACACACGGCCCTGCATGGTCCTCGATGTCGTGCTTCTCAGCTTCCCACGGCCAGACTTGTTGTGACTAAGGTCAGTCCAGACGACCTTTGGAAGCTCGCTCGGCTCTTGTTGGGGTTGGCGGAGTTCTCTTAGGTCTACTTGTCCATGGCCGAAGGCGACTTAAGCTCCAAGATGCCCTGATAGATAGACGCGAGGTGCGCTGCCGTAGAGGGATGTTCGATGTCCACGCCTGGCTGATCGAGGAACTCGTGCATGCTGTCGAAACGGCGCTCGATTTCGGCCTGCACTTCCATGCTAAGCTCTTTGGCATTCTCAGCGCCACCAAACGACAAGGCGTCGATCAGGCGGTGCTTGTCCAGGCCGGCGCGGAGCACGAAGATGATGGAGTCACGCATGACGCCGTACACGTACGAATCGATTGCGCGCTTGGTCCCATCGGGGTTGGAGTCGTCGATCTTGCTGCGGAGGGTGTGCTTGTGAAGATGGAGATTGACCACGAGGTCGTCGAAGTCGGTCTGAGAGGCGGTAGTGCTGGACATCTCGGTCGGAGGATGGGTGGGGTTCGTTCTGAATGGCGGAGGGCCGTTGGCACTGACCAGGATAGAGGAAGCACCGCCAGATGTCGGGCTTTTGTAGACATCCGCTCTCCTGCACGTCAGAACACAAGAACGCTGACGTCGGACTGAGGACGTGTGGAGGTGTGGAGAGGGGTGTGCCACATTCCATGTCGGTCCGCTCAGGCAGTGCACGCAGTGTGCTGAACGCTGTTCTGCGCAGCAAGGGATTCCCTCCCGCGTCACACGTAGTAGCATTTCTTGAGGCGCAATCGCATTCCCTATCGCTATGACAAATGATGACAACGGCGAGCACGGTGACGGCGCTCGAAGTGTAGGGGCAGAGTTAGGGGCAGAGTTAGGGGCGGTACGCCGGGCGCTTGAGGTTTCTCTGATCGGGTTGAGGCTTCCTGTTAAATCAGCTTGGCTGTTTAAAAGGATAGCTACCCACACCAAACAACTATATGGCCGTGTCATCGATAGAATGGGAAGCATGTCTGTGAATCAGCTTACGTCATGCAACAACTGAAGCTCACAGTGATCGTCACCCACGAAGAGGTAAGCTGTCTCCATACTTGATACTAGTATTGGCAGCTCGGACCTTACGAGAAGTCGGCACCGCTGTTGTTAGCTCGCTCAAAGGGTAAGGTAGCTGTGGCAGCGCATCCGACGGAGTATAACGGAAGACACGCACTCATTCAGTGAGCCGGGGTCTAGCCATTGCCGCCTGCCCCCCGTCTCTGTCGCTTCTCTTGCTGCGCTCCTCCCGGGTCCGCATTAAGCATCGCAATGAATGTACGGGGTAGACGTGTGGAAGTAGGTGGTGGCCGCGAGGAGCGGTGAGCGTCAGGTCAAGGCAGCAGGCAGCAAGCCTAAAGTGCTGTGCACAGTCGTCCGGTCGTCCAGCCCTCTCCTTGCTATAGTCGTGTCCGGTCATCCGGCCCTCTCCGGTTTGTTGAGTAAGTCAATCCTATAGACTGCCCGGTCGTCCGGTCCTCTGAGGGTGTGGTGTGAGAGTGAGTTGAAGAAGACAAGATCGGAAGCTCCTGATGTGCGCCTTATATATCATGTAGGCGGAGTCTCAGCTGTCATCGAAGACCTGGCCGACGGGCACGTTCGAGGCGAGCTCGAGGCGAGCTCGGGGCGAATTTGGCGCGGAGGTGCGCAGTCGCAACGGCGGGCACCGCATCTCGCGAGATCTTACACATCGTAGCACACGTGTGAGGGTCTCAAGAGGAGGCGAAGAGCGTGCGAATGTATTACCAACAGAGCACAGGTAGAGCGTGGGACAAGGTCCGGGCACATCAGAAGCGGCCGCGACGTCTCTTGGCGGTGCACACGGTGCGACGTCGCGACACCAGAAGATCTGACACCACATGGCTCTGCCATTGGAATCGGCTTTTGGCCTATCCATCATCTGTATCCCCTTCTCGTCCCAGAACACAGTCGGGAAACTCCTTGTGTTGACAGCCCCGGTGACACAGAACTGCTCCAGTGCCACACTTCCGTCCCACCCAGCCTCCTCATCACTGGACGACAACCACTCCAACATCCAAGGTCGCGTGGCCCAATGGCAAGGCGTCTGACTACGATTCGTAGCTCAATCAGGAGATTGCGGGTTCGATCCCCGTCGTGACCTTCCTTTTTGCCCTTCCTTGACTTCTGCGCATTCATTTATGTGACGGACGGACGACGGAAGACGTAGGCGGGCTCAAGTGGAGCGCAGAGTCGAACTTTTTCTGATGCCGATGATTCCCGGTGGAGGTGGAGGTTCAGGCACACACTAGTGCGCACGTGACATCCTGCTTTCGGCTGGAGGCGCCAGCGGCTGGCTTGACGTCACCCCTGCGTGCCGCAGCGTGCCGCAGCGGGCGCTTAGCTGGAGACTTGGCGCGGTTGGGCAAGACTCGGTGCGTGGGTGCGTCAATAACGGCGGCGGCATCGCCGGCCGGCATGCTCCGTTCGGTGGCGGCATAGTGCGGCTTTGAGGGCAGGCTCGGTGCTGCTGACACGTCGAGGGCGGCACGTTGAACGAGGACGGTTACGACGTCGGTGTTGTAGATATGTTGCCACCGGCGTGTGCGGCTGGACGATAGGGAGAAAGATCATAGCCAAGGGCGGCATCGCCGATGCAGTCTTGCTGGAGGAAGGACTTCAAGTTTGAGGCCGAATGAGGCGACTTGCAGTTGTCAAGAGTATCGGCCTCTCATTACGCTCGCAGACCATATTGCCACCAATTGCGAGTCAGGCAGGCTGATTGAAAAATCACACAGTTGATTCGCGCCGCCGCCGCAGGACAAGTGATTGAGTCCATCGAGGTTGACATGCTGAGAAAAGTGCTGTGAGGGACCAATGCTGTGGTGTGAAAAGAGAAGGATGAGGAGGTCGTATGAGGAAGTAATGGAAGAGGTCAGAGGGATGAGGTCAGATGGAGGTCAGAGTGAAGACGTGAGGATGATCGGGCCGAGGCGGCAAAACAGCAACGCTGTTAGCGTCTTCGATGCCAGATTGCTGTGATTTCGAACTTGCCGACGTCCGATGTCCTCGTGATGAGCTAGAGCAGATAAGCAAAGTCGAGACCGTCAGTGCATGCTCAAGGAGGTGAGTGGACTGAGACAAGGGCCGGTGCCCCGGGGCGCAACTCAGGGTCGGTGGTTATCTTAGCGTGGTGGCATTTGCTGGTGCATGGCATGGTCTATGTTACAATTATACACGTCGTCGCGTTCTTCGATGCTGGCGATGCTTAAACAAGGTTCGAGGGGTAGATGTACTCCTCGGGGTTGATGTCCTCCGCTTCGGGGTTGGCGTAAAGCGGAGAGACCGAATGTTCAGGGGCCGGGAAGCACAGCGGGGAAGCAGGAAGCGTGTGTTGTTTAGCCGACTAGGACTGGATCAGAAGAGAATGCGTTCAAGGTATGATAGCTAGCTAGCTAGCTGACGATCGATATGTAATAACAGACCCGTTTTTCATGAAAATGCGGACTATCGACACGTGACGCACCACGCCGAAGCGGTTTTGATGGTGTTTTCCGCACCGAATTCTGCATGCAAAGCCTCCAAAACCTGTCCCATTTGAAGCTACATGTCTAGAGTGCATATGGCAGGTTTTGTTGTCGAAGCATTCGAGGATTGCAGGAGTTCAGAAAGAAAGCTTGAAGAGGGGTACTATTTGCCACCCTCCTGGTGCATAGCTGGTGAGGGGTTGTGAGATTAGGACACAATTGTGATGAGCCTTGGACAGTGAATAACCTTCATTACGAAGTTTCTAATGGTCCGCATTTTCATGAAAAACGGGTCTGTAATTACATAACGATCCTAGCTGACGCCAAAGTTGAATCTATAAACACTAGAACGGGATTAAATTCACGTGGCTTCGGGGTCACGTGGTCCCAGGGGCCACCCGCTATATCTCGCATAGCAGAGGACGTTGGGCAGACGGCGTTTGAAGATCGGAGAGGAGCCGAGGTTGATTTGTCAACCGAGGAGAGCTATGTCAAGGAGATGGACGGCGTGCGTGTATGTGTGTGCAAGTGAAGGGGTGTGTGATACGTGTGGGTGGACGGTTGAACGGAGGTGGGTGGGTCTGCGAGACAGCTTGTTGTCGCATACGGCACACAGCGGTTGTACGGCGATGCTACTGTCTGCGCCACGAATCATGCCGACCGGGAACCGGCTATGCCTGTAAAGTAAGTGATGCGCCATTGTCCATGCGCGTGGCGGGAGCTTTGTGTTTGCTGGTGTTTTTCTCCCTCATTTCCTCAACGAGGAAGGGATGGTATATCGCACAGATCTGGTTGAGGAGGGAAGGGCCGTGGAAGGCGCTGAATGATGGTACAGCTCCGCGGTCGACGGTCATGCAGTACTCGGCAGAGGCGGGAATCCTTAACATGGTTTGCCCGTTCCCACGAGGGAACGTGGTATGGCTCCTGCGTCTCCCTATAGACGTCAGGAGAGGTATGTTGAGCATCTCGCGCAAGTACGCTCTGAGGCGACCAGTGAAGGTGCCCGATAGGATACGAGACGAGCACGGCAGACCTCGGGGATAGAGCGGCTGGACCAGGGCATCCTATGCCCACTGGTCATCTGTCACCGGCCACGTAGCTTCCTTTCCGGCTGACGACTCCAACATCCGCTCCCAAGCGGCCAGGATCTTGCACATGTCCTTTGTAGGAATGAGCATTTCGCGCACAACGGAGTCGACGATGTTCACGTTGAGGCCAGCCTTCGCGTCCACCGAGCATTCGCCTGCCATTGTCAGGAAAGTCTCCACAAAGTGGAGATTAAGGACCGTGAGCGGATCCGGAAATTTGAGAACCGGTGTCAGCAGCCATTTGTCGAGGGAGCGGGTGTCTGTAGCAGTCAGTATCAGACATCTGAAGCCGAGTTCGGCAACATTCCACTCCCCACCGGTAGATAACGGCTACAATTGTACTAACCTCGAGCTGCGCTCACTCGCTTGTTTACGGCCTTCGCCTTGGGGTTCATGTGTTTTAGACCGCGCCGTGAGAGAAGGGATGTCATGCCGCAATACAGAGCAATCTGCTGGGTTAACCTGAAACATGCCGCTTGGCATGCCATATCACTCCTCCTACTCTCACTTACCAGCACCGTTATCGCGACGACCATGTACCCTTCGTTCTTCAAGAGCTTTACGAGCGATTCGTCAATGGGACCGGGGGTAAGGGCGTATATAACTTGCGTATCGACCTTCTTCCAGCTGTTGTAGTTCTGCAAGTCCGAGAATACCGAGACCATGAGATACCGCAGAAGTGCTGACGGGGCTGCCTCGCGTATTCTGCAGAGCTGTTAGTGCGATTCGGCAGTCTGTGAAGTCTTCAAGTATTACCGACCCCTGGAACAGTCCCTCAGCCTCTTCATTACTCTTCAAGGCGTAGAACAGGAGCGTGTGGAATACTTCGACATCTTCGCCTAGACCCAGTGCGCTGGGCAGGCGGAGACGAATGAGCCTGCCGTACGTTCCGAGCCAAAGCTGCGGGATGACCGTGCCGTCGTCGGCCCGACTGCAATGCGTCAGCTTAGGTCTGATCTGCCACGAACCAGAACAACATGTCGTTAGACCTGAATTTCCCTCGAGAGAGCATGATATCGGTAACCCCGGTACGGTAAATATCCATGAACTGAGTGTCAGACGGAATTGTAGAAACGCGCGGAGACTTACCTTCTTGAACTGCTCCTTTTCTTCTGGATTGGCGACGTATGAGAGGGCCTGGGCGTAGGACTGCTGTACCTTCCTTTTCTGTACATCGGAAAGCTTTGCCCACTCCTGAAGCTGGCGGCGAAGTTCTAGCTCATGCTCAGGGCGTACGACGGGAAGTGTTGCACTGGGTGCGAGCTTTTCCTCTGCCTCCTCCTGCTCTTCCCTCTCCTCCGCCTCCCCAATTACCGCCTCGAGCTCCTCATCAGTGAGGTTGTTCAGTAGCCCGGAGCTCGGGTGCCCCTTCTGGAGCTCGCTCAACCTCTCGCACCACTTCTGAGTCTGAAAGTATCAGTACGCGTTCCTACCATTGTTCTCAAACCTTTCGCTCCATGTCGTCGACCGCGACACGAGGGTTCCACGAGGAGAGGAGCTTGGGCTTGTACCGTGAGCGGTATCCCTGACTATTTTGGAGACTGAACTTGCCTTCAGGAGGTTGTCTATGTCTGCGAAGAAGGTATTGTCGATCTTTGGTGCCTCCTTTGGAAACGGATTGAACTCCTCGAAGTTGATCTCCGAGGTGAACTGCACGATTAGCTGACATGCTACACTTGATTGAGGCGATACTCGAACGCACTGGTGGGCAAGGCTCATCGATTTGTCCCAGCCATCCTGGTGGGTGCGGCAAGATGATTGCCTTCCTTGGAGGCATGATCTGCGCCGTCAGCAACGGTGACAGCCTTGGAATTACGACTTCGTTCGCACGCGAGCGTGCCTCCGCCGAAACTTGATGAGCGAACCGAAATTGAGTGATGTGGTCGCGGATGTCGTAGTCTGATGGAGGGAGAAGTCCCTCAAGACAGATGCCAGGTGGACACTACACAGCGTCCGTCGTGGCCCTCCTTTGGAGGCGCGGCCGCTCGTGCCCATGCGCTATTGTCTCACCACTCGCTCACCGCGCTACAAGGTGCTTCGAACATGGCTGCGCCCTCTCGCCCATGCCTATAATTGCTCCCTTGCCTACTCTGCTTTGGACCTGAGGACACGCGCCCTCTCTACCCGGTCACCTTCCGCTGACCGTATTGACTTCACTGACTAATCTTCACTCACCACATCCCTTCGTCGCTCCATTCATTATCGAGAGCTCGAAGACATGCTGCGGTAAGTGAAGCCCACCTCCAACTGAGCAATAGGGTCTCAGTAGCGCTGATCAAGACAGAACCAACACTCAGACGACTAGGGATCTCATTAGGGGCCTGACGGGTCTCAGCGACAAGAGCTTCGATTTCCTGCTCAGCGCCGACCTCGAAGATCATCCGCTGCGGGAGTTCGTCAGCTTCGCGACGACAGGCAGCGACGGGAGAGCCCTAGATACTGGGTCTCCCTTAATCAGTAGCGGCGCCCGTCCCAACGACAGTGATTCCGGGTCATTGGAGTGAGTAGGGTCCACGAGGCGAGAGCTCCCGACTAACCACCAGGTATTTCATTGAGGAACTGAAAAACCTGAACAAGGAAGGCTTTTCCACACAGGGAGAAGAAGCCCGCCGAGGATCATGGAGGCGTATGGGCCAGGCTCTCGAGGATCTGAGGAAGGTGACCTATGAGTGCCATATGACAGCTGACAAAGTTCAGTTGTTTGATAGTGCGAACGCCATCCGCACGACCGACGAGATTTTCTTCCGTCTGTTCAATATCGACAGCAGCACGACGGAGGACGAGTACGCACGCATAGCCAAGGACTGGGACCGGAATTGGTCCTCATCGGTCCTTGCCGGCGCCGCGTGCTTGTGTCGTTTTGCACTGGGTGTGTATCTGCGTGTTGCTTCCAGCTAACAACGCAGGCGCTATGCTTGGCTGGCTAAACATTCCCACTACGTCAAGCCTGCCCCGCTCGGTTGTCGCGCAGCTCGCCGTCGTCTTCCAGACCACAGTTTCGAACCAAGCCACACTGCGCCACCAATGGTGCTCAGTGCCCTTCTGCACATCCCTACTTCTGGAGGGAAAGGGCATCCTGCCTTTCTCCCTTATTGGCCTTGGTAACTGGCCCCTGTCGCGGGTCCAGACGGAAGAAGACGCCAGGGCGGCAGAGGAAGCTTTCGTCTGGGCGTGTGCCGTAAGTCTGGCTGGGCAGTGGCATGCATTGCCAGCTAACATGGCCCAGCAGCTCGGTCATTCCGTGTCACATGGTCAGCTTCTTTTCCGCGTGGCCCCTTATTCGTGGACTCGACACCGCATTCAGGAGAAAACTGCCGTCATCACCCTCTTCGAGCAGACGCGTAAGCCGCGGTGTGCGTTTCAGCGCTCACTTCAGTCTCCAGGGTGCAGGAGCAGACGGGGAGGGGATATGGAGTCACTCAGATCCTGTGGGACGAGTTCGCGCAGTACTTCGACCCCCTCCGTGTCGGCAAGCAAACGCACAACCAGTACACGCCCTATGAGCAAGCCCAGATAGCTGAGTGAGTACTTCCCGCGGTATCCTACCACAAGATTCTATAGCCGTCGCTAACCCGAAGGTTGCATGCGAAGGGTAGTCGACACGATCCGGAGGAGATCGCAACCACTTTCCCTGAGCACACTGTGCTGTCGATGCTGTCGCAGATTAACCGTGCAGCATCTCTGGGAGGGTCGCAAGCTGAGGACACTTAAGAGGGCCGGGCCGCGTCATAGCTATTGTTGCATATCCTTGAACGATGATAACGACGCGTGACCAGGATCCCTGAACACGGATCAGTCTAACGACCAAAAGGACGATGGAACAGTGGAACAGTGGCATGTCGATACATGTTATAGCTACAGAAGTATCGAGAAGATCAAAGTTATCCGACGAGCGAAGTGCGGAGCGAGGTGCGGAGCGGGGCGGAGCGGGGCGGAGCGAGGCGGAGCGCCCTGCCTAGATCTCCTCATAGTTGACAGCTGTCGCACGCCGCGCCGAGCGACGCATCACCTGGGGTACGGAGGACAGCGATGTCGGCGCGACCCAGTCGTCTTCATCTGCGCCGTCAATTTCCATTGCCCCATCCGACTCCGAGCTAGATTCTGCAGCCTCTGAGTGGGCTCCATTGTCACGGAGACCCGAGCCGCCCTTCTCGGAACGAGACTTCGAGGATCCGGCGGAGCTTGTGTGTGGGCTACGGGTACTGGGGCGCATGACCTTGTTACGCTTCATAGGAGGCGATGCACCTCCTGCTCCGGGGCCGGCGCCCTGCGTCTTGTTCTTCCTCTTCGAGTTGCCCCCCATGTTCCCTGTGCCAATTGCCGAGCTGTCTGATTTGCTGCTCTGGCCGTTGCTCGAGCCCGCCCCCTTGAAGCCCTTGCCCTTCGATTCACCCTGCTTGCCGGAGCTGGACTGGAGACGTTCGACTTGGGCGTAGTGGGCCATATATCCTGTGTCGAAGATGTCGTTCCACTCGAAAGTGTCCAAATCTTCAGCTTCATACTGAGTGCGGCGCGGGTGCGGACGGTTGTAGTAATCCGAGTTCGGGAACAGGAGAGCGTGCACACGGAGAACTTGGTTCACGAGGCGATGCTCGTTTGGGCTAGCCATAGTGAGGTAAACCTCCATCAGAGGAGCATCGCGCTCAGTGCCCATTGGGACCCGGATTGGTTTCTTGTTCAATTCGTAGTACAGGTCGCGAACTGGCCCGTCTTGGACTTCCATCTTCAAATCTTCGAATGATTGAGCGAGGGCGCGGTACGCTACGGGCCTCTGCACAGTCAGTCAAACGCCTAGGACAAAGCTTCAACTCACCCAGTGGTTCGGTACAGTGATACGAGAGTTGCCGAGAGCAGGGTCGACGTTGGCAGCACTTGGCGAGCTAGTGGAGCGCGTGAGGGCTGCTTTCACATGCCCTCCTGTCAAATTAGCGTTTTCGCGACGCACCGCTTACCCTCTTTCGCGACGCGCGCGAGTTCCTGCTGGACCGCCTCGGCGTACTCGATCACCCCGAGCAGTTTGTGAAGATTGAGGTATCTCTTATAGAGAGGCTGAACTTGCGTACGGAAGCTGTCCACCGGCGCGCCGAGGTCAATGAGGGCGCGATGCACGATGCCGTTTTCATCCAGGGCGGTCTTCGGAGCGGAATCCGCCAGCATAGCGATCTCGCTGCCCGAGGTCACACCGTTCATCAGTCTCGTGTTGATGTTGTGGGCGGCGAAAACCTTGAACAGACAGCAACCGAGGCGATATAGGGCCCAGGGTAAAGCGTCGACGCAGTGCGCGTACATGCGATAAGGCCCAAAGGGACTTTCAGTGCGCTTCTGCTTGGGCATCGTCAGACTCGTCGCGGATGTGGCACAGCTTGTACGGGTCCGTTGGGGAACTGCAAACAACGGCTTGCGGGCGTTCCGGGGTTGAGCTCGTAGCAAAACTCTTCGAACGTCGTCGCTAGAATGCAGCGTTAGCTTCTGCCCGTCTCGATCTCGAAGCCGTCGGCGCCAGACACATACTGGGGTGGGAGGCTTCAAGTACTCAAAGTCTGGGCGAGTGTAGAGCCGGTCAGAGTGTGGACTATGTTGTGATACAGATGTCGAGAGTGTACAGGTGAATCGAGACTGCTGTGCTGAGCGTGCTGAATGTGCTGGGGTTGACTCAACCGCGCCCTTGGTTGACTCATCCGCGCTCACCTAGCGCCCCCTAGTTTTAGTGTCGTGGGTGCCCATGAGAGGTGTGTGGCTGCGGGCACTGGCGTTATGAATGTCCCCAACACAGCTCTTCCATTTAGATTGCACGTCGTTGTAGGCTCTGATGATACATATGTACACTCAACTACACAACCGCTCTACACATTGCGACCGACGACCTCATGAATCTCTCACACAAGGTTGGAAGGGTAAATATACTCCTCGGGGTCGATGAAGTTGTCCTTAATCGACTGGGCCGATACAAAGCGGTAGAAGATGGACATCGATCCTGCCTTGTCGTTCGTTCCAGAGGCGCGAGCTCCTCCGAACGGCTGTTGCCCGACAACTGCTCCTGTGCACTTGTCATTCAAATACAGGTTCCCGCATGCATAGCGAACGGCACGAGAAAGCTTGTCGAGAGCGATGCGGTCCTGCCCGAAGATGGAACCGGTGAGGCCGTACTCCGAGGTGGTGTTGACGAGCTCGATGGTCTTCTCGAGGTCCTCGTCCTCGTAGACGTAGACAGTCATAACGGGGCCGAAGATCTCCTTCTCCATCGTGAGGCTCTTGGGGTCCTTGGTGAGGATGATGGTAGGCTCGACGAAGTAGCCCTTCGAGTTGTCACCCTTGCCACCGGCGAGGATCTCACCGCCGTCCTTCTTAGCCTGCTCGATCATGCTGGTGATGCGCTCGTAAGCCCTTCCGTCGATGACGGGGCCGGTGAAGTTCTCGAAGTCGTAGCAAGGGCCGACCTTGATCTTCTGGGTCTGCGAAACGAGCTCGTCCTTGAAGCCGCCCTCCCAGAGCGAGCGGGGAACGTAGCAACGGCCGAGGGCGGAGCACTTCTGACCAGAGTACTCGAAAGCACCACGGATAGCCTGGACGACGCCGCTCTTGATTTCAGCCGAGGGGTGGTAAAGGTGGAAGTTCTTGCCGCCGGTCTCACCGACAATGCGGGGGTAGCCACGGTAGTTGTCAATGTTCATGGCGATGTCCTTCCAGAGCTGGCGGAAGACCTGGGTCGAGCCGGTGAAGTGGAGACCAGCGAACTCCTTGTGCTCAATGCACTGCTTGACGATCTCGGGAGGGTTGCCGGGAACGAACTGGATGACACCCTGGGGGAGACCAGCCTCAATGAGGATCTTGTAGATCAGGTACGAGGCGTAGGTGGCCATGGGCGAGGGCTTCCAGACAACGACGTTGCCAAGGATGGCAGGGACAACGGTGAGGTTACCGCCGATGGCAGTGAAGTTGAAGGGGGTGACGGCGAGGACGAAGCCCTCGAGAGCGCGGTACTCGGTGCGGTTCCAGACACCGGGCGAGTTGGCAGCGGGCTGAATGGCGTAGAGCTGGTCGACGAACTTGACCGAGAAGCGCAGGAAGTCGGCGAGCTCAGCGGCAGCGTCAATCTCAGCCTGCCAGGCGTTCTTGCCCTGGCCGAGCATGGTGGCGGCCATGATCTCGAAGCGGTACTTGCCGGCAACGAGGTCGGCGGCCTTCAGGAAGATGGAGGCCTTGTCGGCCCAGGGGAGAGCCTCCCACTCGGGCTTGATCTTGAGAGCACCGTCAATGGCGGCAGAGACAGTCTCGGGAGTAGCGCAGTGGTACTCGGCGAGGTTGTTCTTGTGGTCGTGGGGCATGGGCTGCGAACCCTTGTCGTTCGAGCGGATCTCCTTGCCGTTCACGATACAGGGGATGTCGTAAGGAGCAGCCTTGCCAACCTTGGCGAGAGCCTCCTCGAGGCCCTTGCGGTCGGCGGAGCCGGGTCCGTAGGAGCGCTGTTCATTAGCTAAGATCCCACGGCCTGCTAGAGCTGAGTACTCACCATGGGCTCGTTGTGGATCTCGGGAACCTTGAAGGTGGCAGCCATTGTTGCGAGCTAGATCGAGTCGTTCAGGTGTACGAGAGTGGAGTTCTAGGTCTGCTCGTTGCTATAGGCAAGGAGGGGAGGGGGGAGGAGGTTGAAACAACGAAGATAGGTGGGAATCCGGATGACACGGCGCACTCTATGTACTCGAACAGAACTCGCCACTTACCGCCCCTAGCCGCGCTTGGTATCTGCGGTATGCAAGGTGAGGGCGCTTAGCAACTGTCATGTGCGCGGCGGGGCCGGAGAGGCGGGGGCATGATCCGGATCTTAGATGCCCACCAATCTCCCTCCAGCCCCTCCCCCCTGAGTCTCTGACGATCAGCCAGATCCGGCACAAATCCGCACCCCCGGCCCCCACGTGAGCCCCGCTGCGCCGCTGCGGGCACTCTCAGCTGACGCAATGTCGAGACTTCCGCCAGCTAGTCACCGCATGCATCGCCGAGCACGCCGGGAAAGTCTATGAAAGACTTCATCGTAACGGCGACCTGACGCATCACGTGACCATCGGCTTCTCGGAGGAGACCGAACCCTGCAAGCTCCCGCCGTATCTTGCTAAGCGCGGCTGCGATTCAGCCATGGCTTGGCCCAGCTAGGCGACCGATAAGCTCGCTAGCCGCCAGAAAGTCCGGCGTACGCTTAGAAATCTGATATTTTGGCTGCCGCCGTAGTCCACAAAAGCACGAGATGCATTCTCCGCCCTCCACTCGCACTCTCCACCTCGGTTCTCCCCGAAAGTCTACCCTTGCAGAGATATCCAATGTCGAGTCGATCTAGTCCACGCTGAACGCCGCGTCCGCCCATACGTCGAGCACCCAGTCCGCGAGCTCGCCCGTCCCATACGTCGATGGCACAAACACGTACACGCCGGGGCCGAGCTTGGTTCGCCCGATCGAGACACCACTCATCCGCTCGACGTACGGCCCGCTCGTAGCGACTAGCTCGCCAAGCTCGTTTCCGACACCTCGTCTGAAGAGCGTCAGATTGATGGGAATCGGTCCCGGCGTCGGCAGGTGCAGCCGTGCTTGTAGCGTCGCCGGCGTGGAGAACACGACCTCGACGTGCGGGTTGCGATCGTACTGGTTACCACTCGGGCGACCACCGGCAGTGGTCTCGTCCCTTCCATCAGCACAACTGTCTCGGACTAATGCAACTTACCACTTCCCAGAGACTGATCGACTGAACATGCCCGCACCTTCCGCCGGAATCGGCGACAGCGAAATCGGAGACGAGGACTCGACACACAGTGTGAATGGGCCCGTGTCGTCCTGCTCGTACGAGGAAACGAGAACGGTGTACGTTCCGGCATCGACGTCCGAGATATCGCAATACGCCATGCCGTACGAATATGCACCTGAAGCGACCACGATCGTGTCACTGCTCAACCTGGCAGGGTCAGTTACAAACGTCTATCGAGTAACTCACTCGTACACACGTTCGCCGTTGCCCCACAGCAGCTTCACGTTCCACGCCATATCCTTCGCGCCCTGCAGCTCTAGCCGCAGGGTCGACTTCTTGGCGCCCGCAGCGCCGTTCGTGGGCTGGCCGACCGTGAGCTTGTACTGCGGGTTGATAAAATGAAGGGGATACCCGGGATGGCCGCCTGCTGTCCGTTTCGTGAGCGCTGACGTGACCTGAGCGTTAGCACTGTTCGGTCTGCGAAACGCACAGTTTCACTGAACGGAAGAGCCAGGCTAACTCTGCTCAAATTCAACTGCGTGTCCTGGGAGGCGAAAGCAGTGAGGGTGAAGCCCGTCTGGAAATGTCCACGGTCACGGGAAGCGAGCACATTGAAGATATTGTCTCCCTCTCGTAAAGGCAGGCGGACGAGAGTGTGCAGTGCGTTGGTGTACGGGTTCTGGGAGTCAGCGCCGAAGACGATGTAACGTACAGTTTCCTGGTGTGCCGAGGTGATGATCCGGCCTTTATCACGGCCCTGTCCGCCCTTCGTGTAGTCACGGAACACATGCAAAGCGACATCGTCGAGCACGTTTTGCCGACACACTTCATGTTGCGATAGTAGCAGCCACACCTCGGCATCCGGTCGTGTAGAAGAGGCAATGAGCTTGAATCGAGGGTTGGCGCCTATGTATCAGTGATCTGAGTTTCCAACTAAGCTCACTCTGAGAGAGATTGTCTGTCTCAACATCAAGAGCTTCGGGTTTTGGCCAAGACCTGATGGCGTTAGCTTTCGACCTGGAATTGGCTGAGCTTACCAGTGTCTGGAAATCGTGTTTGGTAACAGGGCGGGGTCCCAGTTAAGATTGAGGGTCTCGAATTTACTGCACACCTCGTCCCAGCTCATAGAGAAGGTGAACCCTGGCGCTCGGTCAGCATCTGCGGCCCGAGAGTAGCCCAAAAGTCAACGTACCATTCGCCCGTTCTCCATTGAGGTCCATGCCCTCGAGCTTCTCAGCTAGCGTATGATCGGCTCTAGCAAGCCCCGGATCAAAGATGTCCAACCGGCGGTCACCGTCAGTCTCGCGAATGTCTGCAGTCAGCAATCAAGTGTGCCCCGCTGGTCTCACTGGTCACACCGTACGCGTGCAGCGGTACCATGCCCTCGCTGACGTTCACTCCGGATCCGAGCGTCAAGATTACCTGGCCCTTTTGCCAAGCATCATACAACCGCTTCCACTCCTTTTCCCGTCGGAAGCCACTGTTCAGGTCAAGATGCTCCGGGATCCATCCTGTGAACGCGTAAATGTCCGGCGCTGGGTTACTCCCGGGTATCGAGTAGCCTCCGCGCGCTTTGAAGTAGCCCTTCACTGCAATCGGGATCCATGCAGGTCCCAATGGGGAAGTGTTGTTCCGAGCTGTGATGTGCAGTGGCCTCTGGTCGGACTTCGAGCGGGGAAGCAGGGCATCTACCACCACCTGCTCAATCAGTTACTCTGCGAGGGTGATGTAGCTCACATTTCTCCACGCTCCGTTCAGAAGGAGCTTGACGACGTGTTTCGCGTTCTCTGATCGCCTCGGTTGTCCTGAAACCGCTTGAGGGTACAATGCATCCTGGCAAAGCTGGCTGTCAGTTATCAGGGCTAGGAAGCACTCAACTCACAGTCGTCCCCCAGCGCTCATTATGAGCAAGGCAGGAGCCAATTCCAGCAGTGACACTGCAGTCCGCACCTGGACCCTGGCTGACTTGCCAGTCTGCTCCCTTCAGATCCCATAGCGACGGGGAAACCTCTGCCCATTCTGGGTCGTGTGCGAGTTGCTCGTCAGCCAACTCTGGTTGAGTCTGGTCCCGATATCGGTCGCCGACGAATTCGCGATCGGGCGGAGGGGCCCTCCACAGCTCGGCCACTACGTTGTTGAACCTGGACGCACGGCGACAGACAGCTGCTTCCTCGGCCTCGTCGTCTATCTCAGCCGCTCCAACGCGTCCACCGAGCTCAGTAATCCGCTTCTTGACCTTTTCCGCTCGCTCGAGCACCAAGCGCCATTTCTTCGTGACGGTCGGGCGGTCGGTCTTTGCGACCAGCGCGGACGACAAGAGATGTGAGTAGGCTTCTGCTGCGGAGATATAAAGCTGAAACGCCTTGTTCAGTGTCGGTAGCGGAGACGTGAGCGGAGACAGCGAGCTTATCGACGACTCGGCCGCAATGGCCCGACTAGCTATGTTCTGATGGGGTCAGCGGCTGAGTCTCGGAGACGGGCGTACGCACGGAAGCGATTTTGAGACCCTCATTGTACGTGTTGAAGGCCATGACGCGGTTGTGTTGTGCGCCGTGATAAGAGCAGCGGTTGATGCAAGTCGAGATCCGGAGCGTAGGGAGTCCGAGTTCATTCCGAGCTGGCTGAGCGGTTGCTGGGCTGCCTGGCGCCAAGGCAGACGGTGGTTGCGTCACACGTGCAAAGATTTTCCGAGAATAGTCCTGTGCGGTAGAAGGCGGCAGATCATGGCCGGCGGGAGCCGTCACAGCCCCACGGTCATCTCATATCGCCACCGGGGTCGCGTTTGGCCGTCTGGCGGCAAACAGCTCCAGGCCAGTCACAGCCCACGGCGCTAAGGCCTACTAGTCCCAGCTTGGCAGATCACGTCCCGTCACTGTACGTCACCAGTCACGAGCTCATGCACCCAACGATCGATCGTACCACCACCGAGCCCGTACCACCTCCGTAACTCCGTCAAATCATCCAGCACGAACAGCGGTGCCTTGCACCGACATTAGACCGACCTTCTCTACACCTATCGCATCTCTCACTCGCTTACTCTCATTGATCCCAGCCGGCCGATTCTCACTTTCCCATTGAACTTCATCGATAGAATCTCGCCGGCCGCCAACTGCCCAACATCCCGCGCCAGACTTCTTGTGTCTCTCGTTGCCGAGGTTCGCTGTCCGCGTTGTCTCGCTCCCCAAACCCAATGGTACCTCCACCCAAGGTCTCGCCTGTCACGGGTAGGCAAGTCCCGCCATACTACCTTCACGCCTCTAGCGTCCATTTCCAGGACACCCAGGGGAGATCTGTGCTACTCCGTGGTGTCAATCTCTCAGGTTCAGCAAAGAACCCAGTGAAGACACCCAGCTGGAGTCAAAATGGCTTCTGGGAGGACGCAGAGGCTGCCACAACGGACTGGATCGGGAGCACGCTGGACCTTGAAGATGGAAGCGCAGACGTGAGTGACATCAAGCCACCATCTCGCTGTCGTACGACATCGCTGACCATCAGATTCACCTCGCGCGTTTGCGCGCCTGGGGTTTCAACATGCTGCGGTTTTGTTTCACCTGGGAAGCGCTCGAGCCCAAGCCGTGAGTAACTGCTGTGCGAGGTGGGAGTCGATGACTGACCCATTAGTGGCAAATACGACTATGAGTACATGAAGTACGTCGTGAAGTGCCTCTACAAGATCAAGGAGTATGGCTTCCGTGTGTACATGGACCCCCACCAGGATGTTGTGAGTGCCCCGCAGTTTCGGGTCGGCTGTTTGTATTGTGAGACAGCGCTGATCGTGGCAGTGGTCGCGATTCTCAGGAGGCTCTGGTGCCCCAATCTGGACGATTTACGCTTGTGGCGTCGACCCCCACAACATCACGCCGACGTACTCCGCCCTTGTCCATAGTGACTACCCCTCGAGGGAGGACCCACACCCGGAAGAGCTTCCTTGCATGATCTGGTCCTCCAACTACTACCGCGCCTTCGGTCACCTCGTTTGGACGCTGTTTTTCGCCGGCAAGATGTTTGCCCCGAAGTGCATCATCGACGGAAAGAACATCCAGGACTGGCTCAACGACCACTACTGCGATGCTGTCATGGAGCTCGGCAAGGTCATTGGGGAAGCTCCCGGTCTGCTGGACGAAACCGTCATCGGCTGGGATTCGATCAACGAACCGTCCGAGGGTCTGATCGGTATCGAGAACCTCAACGAGACGCCGAAGAATCAGACCGTGTTCCTCGGACCGGTACCGACTCCGTTCGAGAACATGCAGCTCGCAAACGGCCAGGTTGTCGAGGTGCCAAACTACAAATTTGGCCCGCTAGGACCTGCGAAGGATGGAACTGTCGTGCTGGACCCGAAGAGCAAGCGGCTGTGGCTCACGCCCGAGGCGGATGCGGAACGCGGAGCTGGCAAGTGGGGCTTTGTGCGTGGCCCCGAGTGGCAGGTTGGCGAGTGCATCTGGGCGATGCACAATGTCTGGGACCCGGCCCGCAACAAGCTGCTGAACCCGGGATACTTCCACACTCTGCCCGAGGACCCGCGGCACAAGGTTGAGTTCGTGCACGACTTCTGGCGCTTGCACTGGATGTCGTATGCGACTGCCGTGCGCACTTGGCACCCGGAAGCCGTGCACTTCATGAATACGACGGTATTCAAGCCTCTACCGGAACTGCCGGAGAGCTTCCTGCAGCACCGCGCGTGCGCCTCGCCGCACTACTACGACGGCCTGACGCTGATGACGCGGCATTGGGGCTGGTTCAACGCGGACGCACTCGGAGTCATGCGTGGCAAGTACTGGTCTGTGATCCAGGCGTTGCGCATTGGGGAGCAAAACATCCGAAAGTGCATTCAGGAGCAGTTGGGCCAGCTCAAGGCGGACACGACCGAGTCGCTGGGACGCAGCTACCCTACTCTCATCGGCGAGATCGGCTGCCCCTACGACATGGACGGCAAGGCGGCGTACGGATACGCGAACAATGGCAAGGGCAAGGGCGATTACTCGCAGCAGCAGCGTGCGTGGGACGCATCAGTGAATGCGTGCGACGGCCCGAACGCGCTCAACTACACGCTCTGGTGCTACGTGCCGCGGAACAGCCATCAGTGGGGCGACAACTGGAACGGCGAGGACCTCTCGCTGTGGTCGCAGGACGACACGCGTGCCATCGAGGACAACGGCGCCGGCTACGACTCCTTTGTTTCTGGCGGCTCTCGCGCGTCGTCCGTCACGCTGACATCGCGCCGCCCGTCACCCAAGGGTATCGAGCTCGGCACCGAGGTCACGGCCAAGCTGCTTCTGGACGGTTCTCGTGCCGTCGGCGCCTTCTGCCGTCCCTACCCCGTTGCGACGGTCGGCTACCCCGAGGACATCAGCTTCGACATCAACTCGACACTGTGCCGGATCAAGGTCCGCGTCGCGCCGACCGACATGCCAGGCGTGACCCAGATCTACGTTCCGTTCGTGCACTACGCGAGCGACCTGGAGTGGCGCCTGGACGAGGCGGGACGGCCGACGGGCGCATCGCGCTCTTCGTCGCAGCAGTCGCTGCTCGAGGCGGACCCGAGCTCGAAGACGGGCCGCTCGACTGGCAATCTGGAGCTCGACATTGATGTCCGCGCCAGTATCGGCAGCTGGACAACGGAGGGGCAGTACCTGTACTGGACCTACGATGTGCCACGCACCGAGACGACGTACACGATCGAGATCCGCAGGAACGGCGGGCCCCTTCGCGTCAACTACAATGCGAAGCGCGATCAGGGCCTATGGGCCGACATTAAGGAGTACTTTGGCTGGGACTGAGCGTGTGTGCAGCGAGCGCAGCCAGCGGCGTCCGCGCGCGCCATCGGCTGTTGCCCGCCGATTGCCGCAACTTCTGGCCGCCTTGCCGATTGCCTCTCGATTGCCAAGCCAAGCCTTGCGGCTACCGAAGGCTCGGAACCTCACCAGCACATCATCAGCCTACCGTAGAAGGCCGGGCCGAGATCTTGGAACTTAAGTCTTGTAGCGATTTGACAATGTATGTGATCAACCAGCCAAAGTTGCAGGGCGGTATACCAGATTGCCCATGGTGTGCAGGGCGGGCATCAGTATGGGCAACGACGTAGCAGGGTGGTGGGTGAGATGGGCAACAGGCGCCAGGGTGAGCGGGGTGAGCCACACTCGGCAGGGTGTGTACGAGCTGGTAGGGATGCAGGATGCAGGGTGGTCGCCGAAAATTCCCGTTCAGGATTCCCATCGCTCAAGGTTGTGCCTGTGACGCACTCCTCCAGCTTCTTGATGGGTCCTGACGCCGGACGCCTGACCGGACGGCGTGCTTCCGTAATTCTGGCGCCGGCCTTGCGGAGCGAGCTGGCAGCTGGCGAGCTGGGCGGCAGCTGCATAGAGACCTAACTGGGTCCCGTGTCAAGTGTCTAATGTCAACGTGGTACGCAGCCGCGGTATACACGGAGATGACTTCAGCGGAGCGCACGGCGCATGCGAAGGCCACAGAGGCATGAAGCCGCCGCCGAGGGCGGACGAGGGCTTATCACAGCCGTATCTGGTGATAGCGAGAGCTCCGATGCCAAGCACGCACGGCGAATAAGGATGCATGTAAGCCGCTATCGCGTCGCGACCTCGGGGGACGGCGGTCGCGGCGCAACGGCGTGTGTGAGGCGCAGACATCTGGCGTCTGCACTACGGTCCATTCCCCCTCACAGGCCAATCACGTCCGCCTGATAAGCCGCGGTACCTAGGCCAGGCATGAGGGCTCGGGGCAGGTCCGCAAGCCCACTGCGTTGTGTAGGGGACTGGGATTCGCTGCGAATTGGCCGTCCTGTGGCCTGTGGGTGTGTAGCCAACCAAATGGCCCTATATCCGTCGCTCAGCTGTCCAGCTGAGCCCAGACGGCCAGATGGCCGCGGGGGCGTTGATGTCACTGATCGCTGCGGGTATGGAGCTCTCCGACAATATGGAATGCAACACTCGCAGCGGTGGCTGGCACCGTTCCCCTCTAAGATTTTTTTGCGGCTACAACGTCTACTCTCGGCGCCGGGATCGGGGACGACGTAGCGCCAGGCGATGCGTGTGGGCATGTTCTATAACGACGAGCGGAGTGCTAAAGACGGCACCGACGATGTCATGGCAAGTGGTGGACCCACGGGGCGTGCGGACCGGAAGGTACGGAAGGCTAAGGGCAAACAGGGTTCATTCTGCGTGCGGCTAGTGACCCAGATTGTTAAATATAGTCTGGGACCTGCCCTGTGATACATTCCAGAGTCGCTTGACCATCCGGGGTGGGAGCGATTGGCTGGCCGCTGCTGGCCAGACTCGGTACTAGCCCTTATCAGCCTGTTTGATGCAGCGACGCCCACGCCCACGGCCCGCGGAGAACATGAGAGACAACACAGGCAACAGCGCCCCACACATTGGCAATGGAGCCAAGGACCCTCTCTCACCCTCTCCCCTCGAACCCGCGTAACCCCGCCCTATGGATCGTTGTGATGTGATGGATCCACTCTACACGCTCCATCGTTCCCATACCCCGTCCGCCTGCCTGCCTGCCTTCCCCCGCCGCACTAACAGGCTCACAATCCCAGGCCCCGCTCAACTTTCCGCGGTCCCTGTCCACCCTGTACTCACGACCACTCGGAGCCTGCCTTCTCTCCTTCCTCTTCGACTCTTGACCTTCTCCCTCTACCTCTCGCCCATTCGCGACCGTCACAACCCCCTTCCTCACTACCACTAGACCACGACCGCACACCTAGAGAAGACCATCGACCATCATGAACCTCCTCCCCCGTGAGCAGGTGAGTGCCGACTACCGCGATGACATCATCCGCATCATTCCTCGCATTCAGCACATCCTCCTTTCCCAAACTCGATTCGGAGCGGAGCGAGTAGACAAGCGCAGTAGATAGCTGACGACGCCCAGGACAAGCTCTTGCTCTACACCGTAGGGAGCCTCGCGCAGCGCCGACTCGCGCGCGGAGTCCGCCTCAACAAGATCGAGGCGACCGGCCTCATCGCGTGCCAGCTCCAGGAGCTCGTCCGTGATGGCACGCACTCGGTGTCGGAGCTCATGGACCTTGGCAAGAAGTTCCTCGGCAGGCAGCATGTCATGGGTATGTAGTTGCGCAGAAGCGGTGCTGCCACCGAGCTTGCCATCTACCGTTCAAAGCTGACAGTCAGACGGAGTTCCGGAGGCGATTTGCGAAATCCAGATTGAAGGAACTCTTCCGGTGAGCTTATTTCACATGGAGTTAGCTGATAGCAGGACGGCTCCTTCCTCGTGACGGTGCACAACCCGATCTGCTCTGACCTGGATGACCTGTCTCTGGCGCTGTACGGCTCCTTCCTTCCCCTGCCGTCCAAGGACAAGTTCCCGAAGGTCAAGCCGCAGGCGGAGCGCGACCGCCCTGGCGCCATGATTCTGCGCAAGGAGAAGATTACTCTGACGCCGGGACGGAAGCGCTTCCACCTCGAGATCAAGAACGGAGGCGACCGACCGATCCAGGTCGGTTCTCACTTCCCCATTCTGGAGGTGAACCGGGCGCTCATCTTCGACCGCGTGCTCGCGTACGGAATGCACCTGGACATCGCGGCTGGTACTGCCGTCCGTTTCGAGCCCGGAGAGAAGAAGACGGTGTCTGTCGTCGAGATTGGCGGCAACAAGGTGCTGCATGGTGGAAACGGTGTCGCCTCTGGTCCTCTCGACGAGGGCAAGCGGGACAAGATTGAGCAGAGGATCAAGGAGATGGGCTTTGGACATGTCGAGCAGGCAAACGTCAAGAGCTCTTCCCCGCCCGAGATCGACCGCTCCACATACTCAAACATGTTTGGCCCTACGGTCGGAGACAAGGTCCGTCTCGCGGACACCAACCTCTGGATCGAGGTCGAACATGACTACACGGTCTACGGAGACGAGTGCAAGTTCGGAGGAGGCAAGGTTCTCCGTGACGGTATGGGACAGGCGAGCGGACGATCCGACGCCGAGGTCCTCGATCTTGTCATCACCAACGCTCTCGTTGTGGACTGGAGCGGTATCTTCAAGGTATGTTCCAGCTGGTAATAGATCGACGTCAAGCTGACGCTGCAGTGTGACATTGGTGTGAAGAATGGCAAGATCGCAGGTCTCGGCAAGGCTGGTAACCCGGATATGCAGGACGGTGTGGACGACAACCTGATCTGTGGTTCGAACACTGAGGTTGTTGCTGGTGAGGGCACGATCGTCACGGCCGGTGGTATCGACTCTCACGTGCACTTCATCTGTCCCCAGTCTTCCGACGAGGCGCTGGCGGCTGGTCTGACAACGCTGATCGGTGGTGGTACTGGTCCCGCGGACGGCACGAACGCCACGACATGCACGCCCAGCAAGTTCTACATGGAGGGCATGATGAAGGCCTGCGACGACATGCCACTGAACTTTGGTTTCTCGGGCAAGGGCAACGACTCTGGCGAGGCTGGTCTGCGCGACATTGTCGAGGCGGGAGCGTCGTCGCTTAAGCTGCACGAGGATTGGGGTGCGACGCCCGAGGCAATCGACCGCGCGCTCAACGTTGCCGATGAGTACGACGTGCAGGTCAACATCCACACGGACACGCTGAACGAGGCTGGCTACGTCGAGAACACGCTCAAGGCGTTCAAAGGTCGCACGATCCACACGTACCACACGGAAGGTGCCGGAGGCGGTCACGCGCCCGACATCATCGTTGTGTGTGAGGCTGAGAACGTCCTTCCCTCGTCCACGAACCCGACCCGCCCGTACGCGACCAACACGCTCGACGAGCACATGGACATGGTCATGGTGTGCCACCACCTGGACCGCAAGATCCCCGAGGATATCGCCTTCGCGGACTCGCGTATCCGTGCCGAGACCATTGCCGCCGAGGACGTGCTCCAGGACATTGGTGCCATCTCTATGATCTCATCCGACACCCAGGCCATGGGCCGTATCGGTGAGGTCATCACGCGCACTTGGCGCACGGCCGGAAAGATGAAGGACGTCAACGGCCCGCTCGACGGCGACACCGACTTCAACGACAACAACCGTGTCAAGCGCTACGTTTCCAAGTACACTATTAACCCGTGAGTTTTGCTGTCTTGGTGGGTCTCAGCTGATTCCAGTGCCATCACGCACGGCATGTCGCACCTGATCGGCCAGGTGAAGGAGGGCTGCCTCGCGGACCTTGTTATCTGGGACCCTGCCTCGTTCGGTGTCCGCCCCAACATTGTGATCAAGGGAGGCTTCATCGCGTGGGCCGCTATGGGCGACGCCAACGCCTCCATCCCGACCGTGCAGCCCGTCATCGGCCGCCCGATGTACGGCTACTACGACACGTCGCAGACGAGCATCATGTGGGTGTCGCAGGCGTCGATCGACAACGGCACGATCGCAAAGTACGGCCTCAAGAAGAAGATTGAGGCCGTCAAGAACTGCCGTAACCTGTCCAAGAAGGACATGAAGCACAACGATCTCTGCCCCCAGATGACGGTCGATCCGGAGACGTACAATGTGCACGCCGACGGTATTCTGTGCGATGTGCCTCCGGCGACGCACCTGCCGCTCACCACGAAGCAATACTTGTACTAAGCGGGCGAGGGGAGGCGACACGAGTAGAGCGAGCAGGAGAGGTCTCCGCCGAGTGAGGCGTACAGTTCTCGCGAGCGCGGCGAGCCCTCAAGACGACGAACAGTGTGTATAGGAGGTCATGACGGACACGAGGGGATGTAAGAGGACGAGCTTTGTTATCCTGTAGTTAGTAATTCAATCACCCAATCTGCAACAACACCGTCTGAGGAAATGAATCGAATGAGAAGCACATGAGCACGTCGAGCATTAACCATGATCCATGGAGCACTATAGGGAAGATAAGAATGTGATGCTGGCGCCGGGGCTCAACATAGATAAGAAAGTACAACTTGGCGTCGGAACTCTTTCCTCCCCTCCTCCACCTTGCCCCACCCCTCCTCTCCCATCCTCCATCCTCTCCACCCCATCGTTCTCCAGCCCTGGGTATGAAAACGACCTCCTACCGAATCTCAACCTTGGTCACGCCAAGTTCGAGCCCTCCCCACTCCCGCACGACCTCGAGATCCTCCTCATCCACGCCCGGCGGACACTCGATGCGTTCGCTCGGCATGCGGATCGCGAACACGACATCGACGCTCTCGCCCGCAAGGGAACGCACGCTCTCGGGGTCCGCGAAGCGGGGCGGGCGCACCTCGAACTGTTCCTTGCGGTAGGAGACAAAGTTGGGGAAGTACGGGATCGAGGAGAGGGGTTTGGCGGGGAGGACGATCTCCTCGGGCGCTGGGATGATGGAGACGGGCGTCTGGCGTTAGCTCAGGCTGTAGCGACCGTAGCTTGAGGGTAGAAAGGGAAGGGAGAGTCGTGGAGGGGATATCGCTGCTCAGAACGTGGCAATGCCAGATTAAAAAGCTGAGAGAAAAGAAAGTACTCACCACCTGGTCTAATGGCGGCATCTCGAGCAGGTCCCGCGCTCCATACGATTGTTTGTCGATGTCTTGTGGTGGAGCAGGCTCGCCCGCCGTCACCGTCGCTGCTGTTGGTCCCACAGCAGAATCGGCAGATGGCGCCGGGAGCGTCGCGCGCTGCCCGACATCGACCATCTGTCCGCCTATCCGCTCCGCCTCCCTTCCGTCGGTCTCAGTCGTCTCGACCCACTCCTCCTCCCCCTTCACGTCTGCTTTGGGTGTACTTCCCAATCCTCCCGGTCCTTCTGCTCCGTTCGCAGATTGCACTCCTGCTCCTACTCCAATTGCCCGGCTGTCCTCTGCAGCACCGTCCACTCCCTTCCCTCCCTCCACAGCGAGCCCCGCGAGTTGGCCAGACTTGCCCACCCCACTCCGTTCAATCTCCCAGAACTGGGGCACCTTCCACCCGTCGCTCTTCACGAATCCCTGCCGGTCGCGCATGGGAATGTACCCGTCCATGCCGGGCACGATGAGGCCGAGTCTGCGCGCCTCATTGATGATACGGCGTCGGCGGCGGCGCAGTCGGGAAAAGTTGAAGAGAGACACGAGTGCGAAGGCCGCCAGGATCGCAATGAGAATGTAGAAGAGCTGCTGGAGTCAGGGCCGGGGCTCGTAGTTGCGGTCATGTTTGTTGTCTTCGACGGGTGAAGGAAACTGGAGATGCAAAGCAAGAAAAGAGAGCGCGTTCAATATGAGAACTCTTCAACGAGGGTGGAGTCAAGGCTCCTGGTCAACGGAGCTGAGGTGGTGCGTGTTGGGTGGAGAGGTGAAGATGGGAGGTGTGTGAAGACAGTGCAAAGAACAAACACAACGTGTGGGCCACAGATATACCGGGCCCACAATGAGACCACTCACGTTGACCTTACTTACGTTGTTGTACCCGCCGCCGCTCGAGTCTCGCTTCTCGAGGCGGCGGTACCGTTGGGGTGTCGAAGGCGGCATGGTCGCTTTGTTGTTGTTGTTCTTGTGATGCCGCAACAGAACTTTCTCTGACTGAGAGACCTCTGCTGCCGCATCGGCTGGCTGTGGTGCCTAATGCTGATCTACTCTGGCTCTATGTCGAGTCGGAGATGCAGTCGTTTGTGGGACGAAACGTTGTGGAGAAAAAAGAAAGATAACCGCCGCCGCCGCCGGCTCCGGCTCCTCAGACTACTCGGGCTCCGGGGCGAGATGCGAGATGGGAGCTGATGGGAAACGATAAGGATGCGCGCGTGCTCGGTGCTCGGATCTTGAGGTGGTCCAAGCGCAGGGGGCGATGGGCGAGTAATGTTGCGAGATGAGGGATGTGATGTGCAAGAGATGGAGTGATGGACGATACGCTCTGATCAGTTCGCACTGTGCACTGTGTGCATTGGCCGCATGGCCACCGTCCACTGATCCACTGCCGCATGTACGGGTGTAGCGTATGTAGCGTGCTAGCGCAGCGGTTGGGACCGACGGTCGAACAAGTTCGCCTCCGCCAAGCCCCGCTGGCCCCGCTCCTCTGTGCAGTGTTTGCCGCTCTCGGTGAGTGCAGATGCAGCGGAAGGCGAGGCAGACCAGCCAGCCAGACCAAGCGCGGTGCCTCGGACCAAGTCTGGCCCGGCATTGGTTCCCACCCTGGAGGTGAGAGATTAGCCCCCTGGGTCTCCGCCCTCTGGCCCTACGCTGTCCCTGGTCGTCAGTCGCGGATAAACTCGTTGCTAATTCTGGCCCTCAGTCAGCCAGCAGAACGAGGTCGCCGCAGTGCAGCAGAAACAATTTACGTAAAAGCGCGGCGTCTCCGAAAGCATACATCACGTGAGTCACCACGCGGAGGCGTTGAGGCGGAGGGCGGGCGGGCATCACCGGCTCCGAGGCCGCCTCCAGCAGCTCCGCCAGCTATGCCGCAAAGATAAGTCAGCCTCCACTCCCACCCAGTCCACTGGGGCCAGATCTACCAGAACGTCACCTTTGCATCAACCACGAGATTTTGACCACCATGCCCGTCGAGCCCCTCACCTTCCGATTCCTCGGCACGGGCACGTCTGCCGCTTTGCCCGTCGGCCCCTGCCTCGCGGGCGTCTCCAAGCCGTCGCGCGATGTCGGCGAGTTCCTCAAGTTCTACGAGCAGCACTCCTCCTCCGACGCCTCCCCCTCAAGATGGCTCGGGTACGACCCGAAGGGCGAGTGGCCGGCGAATGTGCCGTGTGCATCGTGCCGTGCCGCTGTCGACCGCAGCGTTCCCGACGGTTGGAAGAATAGGCGCGGCAACCCCTCCCTCGTCATCAGCCGCGGGGGCAAGAATCTCCTCGTCGACGTCGGCAAGACGTTCCGCGAGCAGAGCGTGCGCTACTTCCCGCGCTGGGGGATCAAGTCCATCGACGCGGTCCTAATCACGCACGGCCACGCCGACGCTTACAACGGCCTCGACGACCTCCGCGAGTGGTGTAATCGCCAGGGAGCCGCGATCCCCATCTTCCTGACGCAGACGACGTTCGAGACCGTCTCCGCCTCCTTCCCATACCTTGTGGACAAGACGAAGGCTTCGGGCGGCGGCGACCTGCCCAGCCTCGACTTCCGGATCATCAAGGACGACGAGGAACTCGACGTCCTCGGCATTCATGTCCAGGCCCTTCCGGTTGAGCATGGCAAGTACTTCACCCCCACGCCTGCGGCCGAGGTTGGACCGAGCAAGCCCGCGACGCCGGCGCCGGGCAAGTGCTGTGGCGACGACGGCAAGGCGACGGAAGAGCACAAGGCGAGCGGCGAGCAGAAGGACGGCGCTGTCGCCAACGGCGGGGCCAACGGAGGCAAGAAGGAGGAGGTGACCTACGTCCCGCATCCCGAGCAGCGCGTCACGACGGGGTACACGCCCTTCCTCTGTCTCGGCTTCGTCTTTGACCGCTCGCTCGTGTACCTCTCTGATTTCTCCCTGATCACCGACTCGCAGTGGGCGCTCCTTGACCGCGCGACGGCTCATCACCAGCTGCCCCTCACGCTCATCGTGGACGCCCTCTGGCCCGTCCGCCCGCATACCTCGCACGTCTCGTTCCCAGAGGCCATGAGCGTGGCGGAGCGCATCAAGCCTGTTCACACTTGGGTGCTCGGCATGACGCACCCGACGACGCATGAGCAGTGGGCCCGCATGGGACGTAGCGTGAAGGGAGTCGAGGAGGAGGATGACATCACGACGAAAGAGCTGCTCCGCAAGGTCTGGGACAGCTATGAGATGCGGACGAACGGGGACAAGATCAGGCACTGGGGAGGAGACGTCGAGCCCGCTTGGGACGGACTCGGCGTTACTGTCGACCAGGAGGGCGTGCACGAGATGCCACTGGGGCAGGGCAGTGCCGGCGGCTGGGATATTTAAGCTTACCCGTTGGGGCTTGTAGACCCTCTCACCACATACACTGATAGACTTAGACGATGCAATGCTCTGCAGCAACTGTTGCGATCTCGAGAAGCAGTGACATTCAATTCTATGAAAACGACGAGAGAGAAGAGTATGTGTGAGAGAGAAAGAAGTATGAAAACCCAAAGTTTACCCAGTTATTCAGATGTACAATCGACTCGAACCGACGCGCACTACTCTCTCCGACGACCGACTGACCTGCGAAAACGTCCTTGATCAACCTCAACCCGGTGTGCTGTCTCGCCCACGAATAGACGAGAGATAGCACAGGGCCGATAAACCTATATAAACCTAATCAAAAAGAAAACCCGAGGGAGAGAAAAAACCCGTGAGAACCATGGAGACAAAGCGGACCGATAAAAGAAACAAGAAGTGATTTGCCGGATGGCTTTTACATGCCAGCGAGAACCTTCTCCCACGAGGCCCAGTCGGCCTCCTTGAGCAGGTAGTCGAGGTTGATGGCATCGTGCGTGCTCGACGCCTTCCAGGTGTCGAGCCAGGCGTTGACAGCAGGGATGTAGGGGTTCGAGCTGGGAGTGCGCTCGCGGTCGCCGCTGCGCTCAGAGCGCTCGCGGTCCTCTCGGTCACGCAACTCCGAGGTCTGCTCGCGCTGCGGCGAGGCAGAGGAGTTACCGTTGGCGAGCTGGGGCGAGAGCTTGCCGTTGGGGTGGGGCGATCCAGCAGCGACGGCCGGCTTCTCCTTGGGGCCAACGTCAACCTTAGCGACGAGGTCGCGCAGGACGCGGACAGCCTGGCGGGCAAACTGCGCGCCGTCGGACAGCGCACTGACGCTGTCGAGAAGTTCGCTTCCATCCGCGACCCCAGCGCGCATGGCAAGGTACTCGGTCGACATGGCGATGGACTGCTGGCTGCTCGGGCCGGCGACAGCACGCTCGACGTACATGATCAGAGCGAGGGTGGCGGCAGCCTCGAAGACAGTGGCGGGGTTGAACAGGCGGGGCGAGAGCTTGGCGTCGAGCATCTTGGCGCTCTTCTGGCAGCGCAGCGAGGCCAGGCAAACCTGCGCAATGACCGCACGAACGCCGGGGGAGCCAACGGGCGACAGGTACGTCACGAGGTGCGCGCGGTGCACGCCGAGGCGGTACGCGAGCAGCGTCGAGTGCAGGCGCACACGGTGCGGCGCAAGGTACGGGTTGGCGCTGTCGTAGCGCGTGTCGGTGAGCGGGAACAGGCGCAGGTAGGGCGGAAGCGCGTCCTGGAACGCATCGAGCGAGGCGTCAAAGCGCAGCACGAGGTCGTGGGGCGTACCAGCGGGGCCGACAGTCGCGAACGAATCGAGGATCGGGGTGATGCGGCGATCCAGATGCGTGTGGATGAACAGGGCGGTGGCGACCGTGGGTCCAGCCTCGGTCGAGTGCGGGGGAAGGGTGCGAGCATCCTGCGGGAGCTGGTAGAGATCCGTCTCAGAGATCGGAGAGGGGAGGTGGATGCCCTGGTGAGCGTCGAGGATCGTGTACGGGAAGGCCGTGTCAAAGGAGAACTGGCGATCGGCAACGTAAAGGGACCACATGACACGGCGGCGGAGCTCGCGCTCGCCCTGCGGGATGCCCTCCCACTCCTTGCTCATACCAAGGGCCTGAGCGGTCTTGATAGCCTGAGCCAGCCAGCCGCTGGCCAGAACAAGCTTGTCCTTGCGGAAACCGAGGGTGGCGTAACGGAACAAGACGAGCTTGTGCACCACGTACATGACCGACGGCGTATCCCGCTGCTCAGCGACCTGGGCGGCGAGGAGCGCGAGCTCAAAGTAGCGCTGGTCAAGGGGCGTAGGGTCAGCCGACGACGCAGGCTGACCGGCGATGATCCTGCTGGCCGAACGGGGCGCGTTCTGGGCAGCCGACGAACCGGAGGCGAGTAAAAGCTTGCCGGTCTCCTCGGGGAGCACACGAAGAGCCACTGCGAGGAACGCAAAGGCGTTGGCAAGCGTCGTAGCATCACCCTCGCGGAGCTTGGAGGTATGACGGCGCTCCATGAGGGCGCGGAAGTCCTCAAAGAACTGGGGCTGGAGCAGCGAGATGCCCTCGGTCAGGAAGGGGTCGTTGAAGAACGTGTTGAAGAGGATGTTCTGAGTCTCCGACGACGGAAGCGAGGCCATGAGCGTGACAAGCGGCATGCTGTACGAGTCGTAACGACCACCGACATAGGCGCTAGCACCAGCGGCGCCCTGCGCAGCGGGCATGCCGGAGGGCAGACTGTTGCGAGCCACTGGTCGGGGACGTGAGCCGCTCTGAGTGCGAGTGAGGTCAAGGCCGGGAACTGGGCGGACCTTCTTCTTCTTGGGGGGAGCAGAGGCAAGCTCGAGGAGCTCGCCGGAGAGCTCGTCGTCGACAGAGGCGTCGCGCTTCTTACCCCTCGGATCCTTGGCGGCAGCGCCCTCATCGCCGCTCTCCAGCTCGTCAACCTCATCGTCGTTGCCTCCCGCATTACCGTCCACCAAGTCGGCGAGCTCGTTGTCGACAGTGCGCTGAGAAGGCTTATGGCTGCCGCTGCGCGATCCGTGACCTCCAGTCATGCTGACGTCACCGTTGGCCTCCTCGTCGCTGCTGGATCCGTAACCGTTAACGATCCGCTCGCGGTCGAGACGGCGTTTCCGGTCCGCGTGGCTACTTCCGGCCGCGGAAGCGGGACGGCTTCCGTTCAGTCCCGTCGACTTGCGAGATGCGCTCGACATCCACGCGGGAGAGCCACCGTTGGAAACGTTGCGCATGGGCGACGGTCCGTCGAGGTGGTGGTGGTGGTTGTTCGCGGCCGCCGCAGCCGCCTTGGCTTGGGCCTGTGCGGCCGCCGCTGCGGCGCGACGGGCGGCGTTGTGCGGGTTGTTCGCCTCTGTCTCCTCTGAGTAATGACACGGGTGGCCCTTGCGCAGACATGACGAACAAGATGGGCGAACCTGGTCACACTGGAGTCCGAGTGTCAGTCAACAAATCGATTGGGCACAGAGTGAGGGGCGGGGTGACAGAGCAGAGAGAAAATCATGAGATGGGACCTGGCAGGGCGAAAACATACCTTGATCTTGCGATGATGACACAAGTCGCACGAACTCTTGCGGCTCTTCGATCCGGACGATCCCGCAGGCTTGGGGCTCGGCACAGCCGGAGAGGGTTGAGGCGCGGGAACGGGGCGCGCCGCAGGAGGGGCGGGCGGCTGGAGGGGCGGGCGGCTGCTGCTGCGGCTGCGGAGGGGGTGGGGCATGGGCGGTTGGCGTAGACGAAGCGGCACCTGCCTCGTCGTCACGAAGCTCGTCAATCTCCTCGTCGCCAGGCGGCGTCTCGCGCTTCAAAGGACTTCCGTTCGAGTTGTTCATGGTGTTGACCGGCGAATGAGAAACGCTATCCCGCTGGCTGTGGCCGCCGCGGTGCGACGACGGGGACGTAGCGTGATCCGACGCCCCCGAAGGCGTGGGGATTCGGGTGGGGGTGTCACGGGATTCGCGTGTCTCACGGACCTCGCGGCCGTCGGGAGGCGAGAGCGACTTGGAGTGGTCGTTGACGCGAAGCACGAGGTGCGGCACCGACATCGGTGCGGGATTGGAGGGTGAGGTAGACATGGCTGGGACGCGATTTCAAATGCCGAGAGCACAGATGGATAGCACGATGGAGACAAGGACAACCGGAAGGATGACAACGAAGGAGCGGCGGGGATGCACGCAGAAGAGAGGTTGAGCGGGATGCGCGGGTTGGTGGCTGAGGGAACGCCGACGGCGGCTCGCGGGTTGAAGGGGTAGGGGGTTCAGAAAGTTGGTGGTAGTGCCGGGGTGGACGACCTCCACTATAGGCGGGGGTCAAGTGGGATTGAGAAGACTTGACCAGCGAGAGGGATGTGTTTGGTGAG